GAGTCGGATGTGACGCAAGTTAAATCCTCATCATCGGCCATGATCTATCCACTGCTGGATGAAGGCGTCCCTAACCTGTCCACCATCCTCTATAATCTTGCGATGTCACAATCCACCCGGCACTTGCACACACGATTATTTCATCGCTCCATCTCCCCGTTGTGCTTACTTTCCGGATCATTCTCTCCAGTTAATGTCAAACAGAAATGGTCAACTAAACAATGTTTTTATTTGAACTGGGAATGCCCAGTGAGCTATGTAGCTCTTTTCAAAAGCGGTCTGGCCACAAATGATTGCTCAACGAAGTGGCTTATCGTGTGGATATTTCTAGCAGTCAAATACTCTAAAATCACGTTTCTAAATGTGGAGGGAAGAATCGGAGGACCCGGAGAAAAATCTACGCAACCACAGGAAGAGAGACATGCAAACTCCAAATATACAGCAGGTGTCAGGGTCGGGATCGAACCCCACGACCTCCTGTATACCAGGCGAGGTAGTTCACATCTCGCCACCACCCATACTTCAACCTCCACTCCCCGCCCTCCCCACTCCTCCCCCCCGAGAAGCCACTATTTTTTCAATCGTTGCCACCCGTGTGTGTCGCAGGTACGATCGCGTGGGCGCGCACACGCAGGGCGAGTCCATCTCCGACAGGAGGAGCTCCATGTCCGGGTGGAGCAGCGCCACACCAACCTGGAAGACCTTCGCTGAGAGCAAGGACGAGAACCTGGGACAAGGCGAGCAGGTGAGGGCCTGGCCAGGGTGAGCAGGTGAGGATCTGAGTTAAGGTGAGCAGGTGAGGATCTGAGTTAAGGTGAGCGGGTGAAGACGTGGGACTGCACGGTGGAGAGTGCACTGGTGTGTACATTTCTGCTATTGAGCGAGTGTGGTATGCAAGCATCATCCAATATCTACCCAGCTCTTCCTCATCCAGATTTACAAAACAGCTGAAATAACAACTCACCGTGGCGATTTGCCTCATTGTGAGCGACGAATACAACAACCGAAATTTCAACAACAAATAAAAATTAAATCGGACGAGAAGCCACAGCTGACTACAGTCCACGAGTCGGGTCCGCTGTGTTTGGTTGTCCTTGTCCTTTGATATCTGGCAGCCGGACTACTTCACGGTGAAGGGCACCGTGCTCTTCGTGAAGAAGGAGAACTACCTGTACCAGGCGTGTCCCTCCGCTGACTGCAGCAAAAAGGTGGTGACGATGAGCAGCGGAAAGTTCCGGTGCGAGCGCTGCGACCGGGAAACCACGAACTTCAAATTCCGCCTCTTCCTGCAGGTGCAGCACGCGCTTCACCTGCCTCAGGCTCGGGGAGACCCTTTCCTCACTTAGTGCCCAAGACGACTTTCAAATATCTCTAGCAGGCCAAACATGAACAAATACACCACTGCAAGAGGCTATATCAGTAACGGAATTGACGGAGCATGCAAAAAGTACACCCGGGGTTTCAAAATCATTCCCCTCCAGTGGCCGATTAGTGCGACTAAGATGCCTGCAGTGAGGGATACATTTCGGTATTGCGGGCCGTTTCGAAAAAGTAGACCTTCCTGTGGCCGTGGGCCGTATGAAATGAAGTCGTGGGTCAGATACGGCCTGCTCACTATAGCTTCCCCACCCCTGGCTTACCCCGAGCTGTCTCGAAGGACACAGACACAAGTGCCACAGAGACACATAGAAACCCGCACAGAGAGACACTCAGACAGCCCAGGGAGGCGGGCTTATGACCCGCATGGGATGGGGAAGCAATCCAGCAGGAGAATGACAAAAAGGGCTGCACATGCAGAAATAATTGTTGCAGTGGGGTGGGGGGGGGTAGAGGGGGGCATTGCACATGCTGTACGCACATTACTTATGCCCACCTGTGTCCACCTGTCCCCACCTATGCCCACCTGCAGGCCAACCTGGCAGACTTCTCAGACAACCAGTGGGTCACGTGCTTCCACGAGACGTCCGAGGTGCTGCTGGGAGACACGGCCGAGCGGCTGGGCGCTCTCAAGGCGCAAGGGGTGCGAGCCGCACGCAAAGCGCCCGCAAGCTGCCATTGTGCCGCATCACGTGCCACTGTTGGGCCAACGTTGGCCACGGTCGGGGGGGGGGGGGGCGCCGCGCGGCGTTGGCCCAACACTGGCCATCGCGCGGCGTGCGGTGGAATGTCTGGCACAGTCCGAAAACGGATGAGGGCTGTACAAAACAACACCAGCGGCTGGTTGCATTTAAACCAGGAAGGAAAGGTCACGCATGCGCGTCGATTCTGTAAAGTTCTCCAACATGCATTTTGTCATCGGAGGTATTTCATTGTCACGCGACCGTTACTCTGCGTAGCAGGCTCAGGTGGCAAAGTGCTGCCCCCTGCCCTACGACCCAGTGGTCGCTTTAAGGGATCTCGGCGAGCAGAGAAGCGTGGGGGTTGCCGCCGCTCTGCGCGATCCGGAGCGCCCCCGACACCAGGCACTGAGAGCGTTCCCCGTGTGCTGCGCAAATTTGCAGGATGACGAAGCCATCGACCGCATCTTTCACGAGGCCACGTTCCGCTCGTACATGTTCCGCCTGCGAGTCAAGGCTGAGCACTACAACGTGAGATCATCACCATCGCGACGGCCTCTCCCTCTCATCCGTATCTCTATATCGACTTCCTCTGTGACATTAACACGCCCAGTTTTCTACGCAGCGTATTGACATGTGCTCGCATTTAAACGCTATGTGTGTTTCTATCTTCAAATTGCACTGTATTGTATCGAATTGACACATGTGGTAGCTCTGATTTTCTCCTGCCCCTACCCCTTTGCCCTCGCGTGCACACGCTCGTAGGATGAGATGCGCCTCAAGGCCGTGATGATGGACACGCGACCTCTCGACCTACCGCACCTTCGCCTCCAAACTCATCGCCGACATCCGTCGCATGACGCAGACCACGGCGTGACGATGGGTGGCAATGCGGGACCTTCACCACCCAGGCAACAGCTGGTCTGGCCCGGCCGTTGTGGGTAGAGATCACTCCGGATTGGCATTTTTTTTTTCATTTTCAGGAATAACATTTATCCAAATAAATTCCAGAAACAAGATTTTATATGATGGTTCTTTTGTGCAGTGATTGGTGACTGGGTTAAGACCATCAACTCATCACACTTGAGAACCCGTTAAGTCACCGGTATCTGATTCAGGCTACCTGGACTTAGTGACCGATTTGAATATATTAATTGATTAATCGTATTAAACCCCAATTCCAATCAGCTGGTGGCGATTTAATTTTGGCGAGTGTGGGGTGCCTGGGTGGCTCAGAGGTCAGAGCGCTGAGCTGGCAATGTTGAGATCACGCGTTCGAAATGTGAGCGGCCACGTGACACGAAGTGGGAAATATTGGGTTTCACCGTGTATCGTTTTGTGTTGATTTTAAGGCAAAAATGTCACACGCCAGCATACTAAAGGTGTGGTGGTACACACCTGCGGTCCCCAGCGCTTTGGAGGACGGGGTTAGTGGATCACAAAGAGATTTTTGAGACTGCCAAACTCATTGGGCTCCGACGTGCTGAGAGGTGGACAGTGCAGCAAGTGGGCTTGTGAAGCCATTCGCGTGGACCTTTTTGAGCATTCTCCCCTCCTGTGTGCAGTGGGTTTTCTTCCAATTACTCTGCTTTCTTTCCACACGAAGCAAAACACTCGTTATTTCGGGATTGGCAACACCTCCCATTAGACGGCCCTAATAAACAATCAGTGAGACTGGCCTTTCCTGGACAAATACAGTAAACATCAATGGCATTTTTAAGGCTTGAGTGGTTTGTTGATTTGAGTTATTGCAGTTTGGTGTTTTGAATAATAAAAATATTGCCGAGTGTGCTTGAGCGACTGAGTTTGTATCACCTACTCTGACCACATATTTAGTATCCACGAGCCGCGTTACTCAATTCGGGCAGATATTTTCGACTCAAAAACTCCGATTCTTCGCCCCGTTTTGTTCACCGTCTCGTTTGCTCCGTTCCCAGTTTTTAACGCTTTGCAACTAAAGTCGTGAGCGCCGAGGAGGCGAGATAACTCCTGAGAAACGTCATCCCATGTGAATTAAAAATATTAAGTTAAGAGGAGACTTAAGGGCGGTCGAGATCACTCTTCAATCCTGCCATTCCTCAGGATCGTAACGACCAAGCCCTAATAAGTTCGCACGACGATACAATACATCACTTCAAAGTAGAAACAAATTCGCAGACAATAATACGTCTCCTTCATACATCAGTCGGGGTTTTATCCCTCTCGTGTAACAAATTGGTCGTGCAACTGGTTGCAGAGACGTCCACACGTAAGCAATTCAGTTGCATGCAACCGACAATGTGTGCAAAAAAAACAACTCAACGTGTTCGTCAATAACGCTGTGGCCTTTAAAATGAAAAAAATATCAAATTGCACCGTCATAGGCCACGTTTCTAACGAAAGCCCTCAACATTCACAACACGAGAGGCCAGGCAATAATAATCAGAATATTTATTTATACGAAGAAAATCCGAAAAACCATAAAGCTCTTTCCCACAGACGTCCTGAATTCCAATAAATAGTTTTTACCGATATCCAATACGAGCTGGAGACCGCACTAAAAGTTTTCATGATGACAAGTTTGTAAATTTGCATGCGAATACAGCAGTAGTTAGTGACCTACTCTTAGGTTTTTTTCGGTAAAGTCACGTAGGTAAAAATAAATTAAAAAAAATAGAAATAAAACAAGAAATCACGACGTGATTTATTATGTTATTTCTATTATTATTAGATTTATTATTTTATTTCTATTATTTATTTTTACCTACGTGACTTTACCGAAAAAAGAACCTAAGAGTATGAATCCTTGCAGTCACGAAAGCTTCAAATCTCGAGTTCGTGACCTCGCAGTCGGTCGCCGTTGACGAACAGACAAAATCCGCGCCGCGTCTGTTGGAGGCCGGGCCTAGTGGCTCGGGCGGCCCCGCCCCGGCCTAGCCCCCCCCGCCCCCGCCCAGTGCCGCTTATCCCGACTACGAAATCAAATCCACAACCCCCCCTCGCTCCGCCATTACAAAACCACCTCCGTCTCTCGCCGTCCGTCTTATTTCTCCGCGATGACGGCGCGAGCAGGCAGCATCAACCCCTTCGACGACGACGACGATGCGGCGATGAGGAGGATGAGGGCAGACAAGGATGATGAGGATGATGATGAGGAGGAGTTCGGGGCGCCGCGAACCCGGCAAGAAGAGCTGAGGCAGGAGGTGCTGAGGCGGCAGCGCGCGATGGCGCAAAGCACGGGCCGCTCCGCAGGGCCTCATCGCCGACTCGGAGAAAGTCGGAGTGGAGACGGCTCAGGTACGCGGGGGGTAGAACCCCGTCGTGGAGACCCCGGCGGGTTACGGGGAGCATCGGGGGGACGACGGCGAGATACGAGCGGCGTGAAGTGGCTGGGGACGGGTGGACTGAGAGACACGGGGTGGACTGCATCGGGAACTTTTATTTGTTGGGATACTGACAAAGTCATCGCCGTAAGCCGCTTGTCTAGTGCCCTAGCTTATTAGAGAGCAATCCTGACCTTTATTGGTCACCCCGTGGCCCTTATACGTCTCGACGTTCCTCCTACAAAGTCCCATCGCAAGGGAGAAACGTAAACAATTAGACAAACATTTTTTTGACCTGAAAACTAAATTTCCCTTGTACAAGAATACGGCGCTAAACCGTACGGGTTGACACGGTGTGACAATCGGATATGGGGAACCCATGGAGACAAGGATGGGCTGTAAAGAGGAATATATATGGAGGGAGACCTTGGGGTCGTGGTGAGTTGGGGGGGGGGTAGATACAGGGAGGGGGAGAGACACAGGGACATGGGGAGACACACAGGGACATGGGGAGACACACAGGGACATGGGGAGACAGGGACAAGGGGAGACACACAGGGACATGGGGAGACACACAGGGACATGGGGAGACACACAGGGACACACAGGGACAGGGGAGACACACAGGGACATGGGGAGACATAGGGACATGGGAGACACACAGGGACAGGGGAGACACACAGGGACAGGGGAGACACACAGGGACATGGGGAGACACACAGGGACAGGGGAGACACACAGGGACATGGGGAGACACAGGGACATGGGGAGACACACAGGGACATGGGGAGACACACAGGGACATGGAGAGACGGACATGGGGAGACACACAGGGACATGGGGAGACGGGGACATGGGGAGACGGGGACATGGGGAGACACACAGGGACATGGGGAGACACACAGGGACATGGGGAGACAGGGAGGGGGAGATACACGGTCACAGAGAAGCTGTGGGACAGATGGACAGGAAGGCTAGGGGAGTAGGGGGCCTGGAGACTTCTTCTGTCTCCTTCGTAGCAGAGGGGAGCTGCGTAACAACATCTCACGTATGTCTCACTCATATTGTGCCGCTTTCGGCTTGGCAATTTATGAAGTGGCTAAATATTGTGAAAAGGACACAGGATCCTTACCGCAGACGTCGATTCACTCCAGGATTACGCTTCATATCCTGGTCCCAGAAAGCCACTCATCCTATGCCGCTTGACGAAATGTTAGCCACTTTGAAAACCCCAAAAATTCCAAGATCTACCGACGAATTCGCTAAGTTTGGCAACACTGGATGCGTGGCTGAGGAAGAACCTGAGGGTTGGAGGAGGCTGGGCTGACAAAGTGGGAAAAAGGCAGGCAGATGAAGACATTGTTGTGTTAAAAATACTTTGTGTTTTGCCTCTATAAGCTCTTTATAATAAATGACAAACTATTTTAAATTTTACATCCAATCTTAAGGCACCATGCTCCTTAGATTGATAAAGGCCACTGAGCTTCATAGCTCTTTTTCAGAAGCGACCTGGCCACAAATGATGGCTCAGTGGAGTGGCTTAATCATTGTGCAAATTTAGAGCAGCGTGATGTTGATTCCAAATGTGGAGGGACATACCGGAGGACCTGGAGTAAAATCCACACGACCACGGGGAGAGAGACATACAAACTCCAAATATACAGCAGGCGTCAGGGTCAGGATCGAACCCACGACCTCCTGTAAACCAGGCGCGGTAGTTAACATCTCCTAGCCACCATGATGATGAGAGAGAGACATACAAACTCCAAATATACAGGAGGTGTCGGGGTCGGGATCGAACCCACGACCTCCTGTATACCAGGCGAAGTTGTTAACATCTCGCCACCATGGTGCCCACTTCTCCCTGACCAAACGCAGGAGCTGATTCGCCAGGGCGAGGCTCTGCGGCGCACCGAAAAGACCCTGGACAAAATGGACGGCGACCTCTCCATCAGCCAGAGGCACATCAGTAGCATCAAGAGCGTGTTCGGGGGCCTGGCCAATTACTTCCGCTCCAAACCAGAGCCCCCCAAAGCAGAGCCCCCCGTAGAAGACATCGCCCGTGGGAACGCCAGGTATGTAACAGAGGGGGGGGGGGGGGATACCAACCCCACCGAGTCGGAGCTCTGTACGGAATTTCTGTCTCGAAAACCACCCCCCGTGACTGTGACCAAGCTGTTTGTGGAATAAAATTGTCACAGAGCACGAGGAGTAGCACCTGAATGTCAAATTGTAGTTGTTGCTCTGCATCTAAATCGGCCGTACGAAAGAAAGAAAATTAAAAAGGGCACTAGTATCGGGTTGTAGTTTCCCGCCAGCACTGCTCAGATCCTGGGTTTGAAATGGGGGTTTTGGCTTTCTTGTGGTGAAACTGGGTTCTCAATTGTAGTGAGTTGTTGGCCTCAGCCTGGTCACCAGTAATTGCAAAAATAGGGTGTTCACTTTGGCATATACCAACTCTGAAGGCTAAACATGAAACATTTTCTGTTTCATTTACATGCCACGAATATTTCTAGGGCAGGGCACGTGAGATGCTGCACTGCCTGGTGTGGATAAGAGGCATTTGGAACGACCTCAGAAGTAGCTCTGTTATGCCCTCTTCCAGAGACCCATTCGCTCACATGGTGTGACGTGATACCAATTTCTAAAAACGTTCCAAATAGAAATGTATATATCCTGACGATAACACTGTGAACACAATTATATAATTAGTAGTGGGGGTGTGGTGGACCTACTAAGATGTAATATGGTTTATTCTTGTTACAAGTTTGGCTGACAATGCAAGTCGTTCCTGTTGCCGAACGAATATATTATAAGGTCGCACTTATTACACACAAAGTGCTTGCCACAAATGAACCACGATACCTTGTTGAGCTTGTCAAGGAGCATAAACCATCACGCGAACTCCGGTCAGCCTCGCAGCGTCTTTTGGCTAACCATCAAACAAAGACGGTTACCTCATCGCACGCTTTCAGATGCGCTTCTGCGGCCATATGGAACGTTCTTCCGATATTAGGAAGCCACTGGAGCTATCCACTCTTAAATCTAGTATTAATACTCATTTCTTTAGAACTTCTTTTTGTGTTGAGTTTGTTGTCTTTCCCCCGCACCTCTGATTAGCATGGTTGGCTATGTACGGCGCGAAATAAATTCAACAAACATACATACGAAGTCGTTATGGGCAGCTCACAACTGCAACATAAGGACACCATTTAGCCGCTAACTCTAGAGGCTTTCATAGGAGGATGGCTACTGCACACTGCGCATTGTGCAATCAATCACTCAATCCGTTTCCTCCCGTCACATGAGCACGGGCATGTGACTTGTTCACTGGTGAGTGTAGGGCAGTGCCCTACAAACCCGAGTAAATAAAAATTTGATGCAGACCGCAGCACGGTGCCTTGGATTGGATGTAAATGACCGCGACGGACATGTGTAGCTCTATAAAGATTTTCTTGTTGCAGAGAGTATTGACATTTTAGTACATTAGATGGGGGGCACAGAACTTTTGGAATGAATACACGCCACTGGCTGCTGACTGCAGTGTGCCAGTGTGTTTAATGTGTGTGTGTGTTTTTAGTTTGCGTGTAACAGTCACTTCCATATCGATGTGATGAATTGTCATGATTCAGGGCCATTATTTGACTCAAGAATCTATTCTTTTTGCCTTGTTTCTATTATATTTTACATAGTTTCTCACGCTCATGTTGTCTAGCAGCTCGGTTCACTCCGTTACCCTAACTAAATGTAACGACTGCCTACAACAATAGATTTTTCACGCACGATTTTATCGCGAGCGTAATAAATTATTTGAATCAATTGGGTCAATGCAGCATTCTAACTGTGCTCGCGTTTAGAAACTAGATGTATGTATGTTGAACATATTTGGCACCGTAAGTAGCCAACCGTGCTAGTCGGAGGTGCAGGGGAAGGACACCAAACTGAACATGCAAAAAACTGCTGCAGTGTTTGTATAAATTGTTTTGCGCTATGTGCCGAGTGTTGACGTCCCTGCTGTGCGTGCTCTGTTCAGGCTGCAGGAGGCGCTAGACAAAAGTAAAGAGACTCAGAGTCAGTATGAGGACCGCCACCCCGTGCTTAGGAAACAAGAGATGGCTGGTAAGGACCAGTCGCCCTGTTCATTAGTCTGATCCACGCAAACCTGCGTCTCTTATTCGCCGATCCGGGGACGGCCAAACTGTTAAAGATCCTTTAGTAGTAGTTAGCGTACACTGCGCAACTGAACGCAGTTTCCTGAGTTCAATTCCCGGCAGGTGGTATCTGAACCAGTCCTGGGCCTCGCCAGGTCTCTTCAGCATTAAATGAGTAGCTGGTGTATAAACATCAGCACTGGCGAGATGAAGTGGTTGGGCATGGCCCTGGCTACCGAACCGCCTCTTGCACCGTGCCGGCCTTAATAGGCACTCACGAACAACACTGGCCCCAACAGTCTTCATGACTATAAAGGGTTCTTTGTTTTTGTTCATATATATTTTTTATGCCCCCCTCATACACTCCACTGTGTAATAAAACACAGGGGGTTTAAAGCGATTCAGTTTACGCTCGGTAAACATGTTAGCGATTGACAAAGAACACACGGAGGGTAGTGACTCGGTTGGCATTATTCGCGCATGTGTTGTGACCCACGCCTGTGCCGTGATGGCATGCGCAGGTTTTTATGACGACATCGGATCGGAGACGGTGCCGGGTGGTGCTGCCAAGGTTGACGGTTCCAAGAAAAACCCGGTGCTGCAGGCGTACCACCAGAAAATGGACAACGACCTGGGTGAGACACGCGTGTTGCGTGCGTGCGTATGTGTGACGCCAACACAGTGGGGAGCGGTAGTGTAGTGGTTAGCACATTGCCCTACGAGCCCGGCGACCCGAGTTTGGTTCTCGCTCAAGGCCAACACCGGTGATGATTATCTGAACTGGTCCTGGGCCTTTCCTAGGTTGACTCGGCCGCAAATGAGTAGCTGGTGCGGTGTGTAAACATCGCCACTGGGGATACAAAGTCGGCCAGTCGTGGTGCTGGTTACCCACCCCCTCGTGTGCCGTGTCAGCCTTCATAGGTGCTACTCGTGAACAGCACTTGCCTCAACAGTCTGTTAAAGGCTATACGGGGGGATCTTTGACTATCACAAGACCGAGGCACTAGGGGGCACTGCAGCAGCTGTACAAGGCTCTCATTGGTAGTTTCCCAAACTCCAGTCCTATCGGTCTCCGCCATTCAAATATAAGTGAATTATAATATACAATGAGTGGTTATGCGCTGCATGAGCGTTTCTTAATCGGCATGCAACACATCGCCTGGAACGCGCAATCAATCACAAGGTCCCCGTCTTAATTTAATTTGAACGAACTCTTTGCGCAAAACACGTGCAAGCACGTACAACAACAATGACAACACCTACCATTCGCCACTAAGTGGCGGTGACATCGGCACGGCGCCTGTGCCAGGCCAGGTGCACTTTGAGGCCACATGAAGTATCGAAGGCTCGCTGATAGGAAGTCACGGGACAGACCCAGGTGCCATGTACACGCAGGCACGCACACACACACAGGACCGCAATCTACGTCAAGCGGAACGTGTTTTGACGTCATCGGGCGTGTGCAGTTTGTGGCCACTCGGGTTCGATTTGAATGGAGGCAAATTGGTCGGCGTGGGTAAGGGCGTGTGTACCCTGGTGGCTCGTCAGGACTGAAGTTTGTGACACCCAGCTTGTGCTTGCCGACGGACAACGTGGGCTATACCAGGAATTCGCCACAAGAGCCACAGTTTTCTCGGTGTGTGCGTGTGCGTTCGTTGCAAATATTCACACACGTGCAACTTATCAACTGATGAGTGATGTCCATTTGTACCCGAAGTGCACCAATGGATTTAGGATCTCTACCACATGCAAAACACACTCGTTGAAATGACAGAATATATTTCAATGTAGTGTGAAACTTGTGCACTGCTTTTAGCATTCTCATTCTGCCGTTCTAAATAAGGGATTTTGAGACTGAGTTTCCACGTCGCAGCTCGAGGTCACGAGATTCTGACCGCTATAAACCTTGCATTTGTACATAATGTTGATGGGGGAAAATCGGGATACAGATAATTAATAGAGGTGATCCCACCAAGTATGTAAGTATCCCTCTGCGGGAGAAACCCTATGGACGAAGCTCAAAAGATTCTGTTATTTACCGCTAGCCAGCAGGTCCAGGAGACGCATATTGTATCTCCATACCTGTCGCGGCATTTGTGAAACCGTGCACCTTTGGCGGTCCCCCCCCCCTTCCCGTCCGCTGTCAAGACAAGACGCGTTCCGTTTGTCGTCACGCATATTTTCGTTCGAGCGCTTGCAGGGTCCGGCCTTGCGTGTTTTTATTTCCTTTAAGTGGAGTTTACAAGCGTGGATTTCAGGTCAAGTCGTTTATTTACATTTTTTTCTTTATGGGGTAGCAATTGCCCCCCCACCCCCTTATGTATGTGCACGGGGGATCCGCAGGGGATCCGCGGGGGATCCGATGGCAGGGGATTTGCGATGGAATGCACGCGGGGAGTTAGGGGTGTGCGACGAGCATCGAGATTTACTTGGTGTGTCTGCCCGGGAATGCACTAAGGGCCGCTGCCCCCCACACCGCCCCCCCCCTACCCCCGCCCCCCGCACGTGTCATCGCGTGTGGATTAAATTTATGGCGTGCATAGAATCGCACGTGCTACGAGTTATCCCTGGGAAAGGCTCATTGATCAACGTAAATACCTGCGCTGCTGCGTGGATAAAAAAAACCTTCACGGGATGGGGAAGAAGAAAAACAAGAAGAAAAAAATAAAAAATAACCGTGAAAAGTAAATTCTCATAACTTTTGATCAACATCAGACGTGGACAATCCGCTGCTGGATGAAGGCCACCCCCCAAGCCACCGCCACTTCTCACGATCCTGCGATGTTAAAATAATAACAATTTAAATTATAAAGCATCTTTAAACAATCCTTCTCAGGGGGGGGGGGGGTGGGGGGCACGTTCCTGAACACACACCGCCTTAAACAGTGGAGGGCAGCCCAGACTTACTTTGGTGGACATTCCTCGGCGCAGAACGCGTCATCGGAATTCTTTTGGACTACAAACGTACAATCAATTTTATTTTTATTTTTCGTGGTTTTAAAGTGAAAAGCATTTTGAAAAGCCCACCTGACGCGTGTGGCGAGAGGCTGGCTCGAGTGTAGCGCAGCACACACCCACGGTGGGGCCCGAGGCAGAGTGTATCTGCGTTGTCGTCGCGAGAGAGTAACTATGTGGTGCGATTCACCGAATCGCCCAGCGTGTTTACACAGCTGATGGGCGTCGAGGCGTCTGCCGCCCATCCAGTGACAGCTCCGGCTAGGAAATGCTATAATTAATATATATTTTTTTAAATCCCCTTTTCCACCTTGCGACACAAATGTTTCTGGCCGGTAATCTTCTGGCCTGCAGGTCAGACCGGCCGCATCCCCACAATGTTTTCTTGCTTCGTTGAACGCGAGCTCGGCTAAATGGTGGAGCGTTTCGCGCGTAGCATCTGTACGACGCACCGCATATAGCAGAATAATGATACATTTAAATCTGGAAATTCAGGGATTTTCAACTTGTACTTGATGATCAAATCTCCCACAAATGTGCCCGATCTCAGAAAGTAAACGGAGGTTTGAGCTAGACAGTGCTTGGATGAGTTGCCACCGTGCATTCAGCAGGTGTTGTAGGCTGCTGTAGGGCTACGTTGTGGGGCAGCAAAAGAGCCTTACTGCTAAATCCTTTGTTGTACTCCGCTACGCTCCCACATCTACGCTCCTCGCCCTCACCAGGCCGCGCTGAGCTGCGTGGTGAGGTACGATCACGCAACCCTCTCGACCCCGCGTGGCGTGGGGAGGGCCTCACTCCACCGTATTAGACTTGGGAAAGTTTGCTCGCATCCATAAAAATGTTTGAGATAATTAATTTACTTTCACACCGTGACGCCACACACGCGTGGGAGTCCTGTGTTTGTCTCCTGATCGCAGCAGTGCGTGTTTACGGGACGTGCAGGAGGGCGGACTTGCTCTTCGATACGATTTTCGCGATGTGATGATTATCACGATATCAGTTTCCCTGTACCTTTTATACTTGAATTGTTTTGTTTCTGTGCTTTGTTGTACTTCCATTGCGAACGGAGATTACTTTAAGCTCCAGATCACTCAACCTCAGCCTGCCACAAGTCTCCGAGTCACGTGTGCCAGCATCACGATAAAAACTTGATTATAAATTTACTCGCAAATTACCCAATTGGTTAAAGCCACATCGCAAATTGCGCCCTTTCTGTGAAAATGCTGCCGACTACAATTGTCCGTGAAACGTAGCCCCCTTCCTTACCAATAGCCTTGCGCTATAAGAATACAGCGAACACCAAAAGCAGTTAACGATCAATTAAAAGTGCCGTAATGTCACGGCGACCCCTGCTCATAGCCGCGTCGCGTGCGCCTGTGCCGTACCCCGACAGAGGACATCGGGATGGGCCTCGGACGCCTCAAGGGCCTGGCGCTGGGACTGCAGACGGAGATCGGCGAGCAGGACGAGGTCATCGACCGTTTGGCGTCGCGGGTCGACAAGGTGGACAACCGGGTCAGGAGCACCAACCAGCAGGTCCGCAAGCTCTAGCCAGCGCCGAGCACCGTGCTCGCTAGCGATGAAGACGACGACGACGACGGCGGTGGTGGCGGCTGGGACGGCAACTCGCAAACGACACTCGCGAGGGCCTTCGTGTGGATGAAGTCGTGCGAAATGTGCGATTTACCTCGGTCAGTTAACCCAGGTTAACGCCTGGGTCTCTTTCGTAACGTCTTGCCAGCGAGCCTCCGACACGTCACGTGACCTCAAAGCATGCGCCTTGCTTGGCGCAAGTAATGTGGCGAGGTCACCGTCAGCTTAGTGGCGAATGTCGGCTATTGTTGTTGTTGTGGTTGCTGTGTGCGAGGCATGTAACGATACGCCCCCGATACTTGCGTCGAATCACGGCTGGAGAGGGTTTGTTATTTTCGAATCGTGTGTTGTACGGCATGGGGTCGCATGACCCCTTAAACGCTAATTTCACCCATGTGGCAACAAAAAAAAATTATCCATCTCGACGATTAATCGATTGGAGATGGCGGATCGTTCCATGCCTGGTGTCCTTGTATTGACGAACGACCACAAGAGCTGGGATCGTTTCAACTTTTTTGTCGGCTTGTTTCTCTTCCCGGCAAAATTATTGTATTTTTGTGTTTTTGTTTTGTTTACACAACCTGTGTGTTGACTGGTCAAACAATAACGCTCGCCATATAAAGTAAGCACGCATGCACGCAAGGGGGCTCGCGCACGCGCAGCACACGCGTAGCACACGCGTGACGGCCTGCGGCCCGCGTGCCGCACTCGCGCACTGCTGGGGCTGCCGCTACTCCCGCCATGCGTTTCTTATTTCCCTGAAATCGGCTCTTGGCACGGACGCACGCAGGCATGCGAATACGCTTGCCATCGCGCGCGCGTGCGTGCTCCCCCACACATGGAACGCAGGGCAAACGGGGAGCGAGGCAGCGTAAGCACGCAATGTGCAAACGTGCACACCAAGACGGCACACAAGGACCCCCCCCCCCCCATCGCATATAGGCGTTATTAGACTGTTGGGGCAAGTGCTGTTAGCGAGGACCTATGAAGGTCGGCACGGCAGATGACGGGGCGAGTGGCGAGCACCGTGTCCGGTCGCCTTTGTATCCCTGAGTGTGTCCTGTTTACACAGCACACCGGGTACTGATTTGAGGCCGAGTAGACCTAGTGCAGCACGCTAACCGTGACACCACCGCTCACCAAGATGGCACGCACGCACAAAGACCTCGACACCTTCACCGCCTTAAATCACACAGCCCGCCATCGCTTTCCTTCCACTAATGAAACGCCTCATTTGCGCGTTAACACCTATTTCTGGCCGTGCCGTGGCGCACTCCCGTGTCATTTGTCACTATGGAAACCTTAATGTATGGGCTCTCACGCTCGCTTCTCCATGCCTTTGGTCCCTGTGCAAACTATTGCTCGTGGGAATGCGAGGAATTTGGGGGCTTGAGCCCACGACCCCCACCCCCCACGGGACCCCCACCCCACCAGCACAACCAACCTGAGACCACGCTGCTGTAACCGCCCGTGCCGCCTTTCACTCTCGTGCCGCTTTCTCCTTTCACCCGAACCCGCAGCATTCCACCGTCGCTCGGCGCGCGCGGCTCGGCTTTGCGAGAAGGAAACTCACGCGGTGGAAACGGCCGTGCTGGTCGAGGTGTTGTTACCGGGGTGCGACTCGATTTATTGTAAATGCGTCATGCGCCTACGACTGACTTCTGCTTGGCACAGATTTTATTGTTGGATTCCCGCTAATTCCATTTAATTGTTATTGGGAATTAGTCTCTTCTATAGATTCGATTTTAGGAGGCCCTCTGCCATAGTTTGCAAGAGTAACCAAATATCACGAAAATGTAGCAGCTTAATCTATATTGCGTAAAATGACGTATAGCAAAAAACATCCCTGTTCAACGATAGTTTTGTTCGTTCACGCTGAAAATAAACTGAATTCAAACCGTTTCTCATCAAGAGTCTACACCTCGTCGAAATAAAGGGACGCATACCTGCACCATGCCGGGGTGGGGGGCATGCAAGCGATCGCTGACGGGACCCTCGCTTGCGGAGCCATGATGGGGGGGGGGGGGCGTCCGTCTATCTCCGTAATGGGCCCTCGGTGACCACAGACCCTCGGCGGCGAGCTGAGAGGCCGATGACAGCCGGTTGTCATCGCGTGCCCCTCGGGGTGGGGGGGAGGGGGGGTTATCCCTGCCTGACAGCTGGGCCCCATTGTGGAATAGCGGCCAGGCAGCCCGCATGCACGCTCGCTGTCTTGGGAACGGTATGGGCCGGAGCGAGTGCGTGTTCCGTGGGATTGTTTGGCGGCTGTGTTTAAAGTAAGGGCCTGCAAATATTGTTCATTCTGCCGTTTTGAAGTCTCTCTGCACGTTTGGGCCAGACGCACCGTGCTTGGCGAAACTCGCTGGGGGTGGGGGGGTGGGGGGTGAATGCTTCGCCCGCTGTTGGCGATGGGGTCGTCGGCGAGATTTTGCCAAAAAATCGGACCGATTCGAGCGTTCTCGAAAACACGAATGTTGCGCTAAAACTGACGACGGAGAAAACTGTTGATCAACTCTACGAAACGTATCGACGTAAAAAAACGATATCACAGTGTTTTATTCAAAGCACGGCCCATACAAACATTTCCTAACTATATTAAAATATTCTGGATTCTCTCTTTCTCTTCTGAAGTTGAGCAACTTCTCCAAAACCGTAGCGTAATTTATAATTTCACAAGACAGTGTTAATGTGAGCGGTTGCGCGCCCTTTCCGTTGCGCGCGAGCATCGGCTTGTCCCCGTGGCTCGCCAGGCTGGATACAAGCACATCGCTTGGTGTCAAGTCCCACCGTGCTTCTATCCAACGTGCACACCTGTATCACAAGGCCAGCTTAAACTAATGACACGTTGCTTACATCTTAACTGCGCCTGTGTATAACCAGCTTCGACTTTATTCACGTGCATTTTTCAATGCAGGTGAGCGACCTCATCCATTGATGAGAAAGGGGGTCTCTTTTTGCAGCAAGGGAGGGAGGAGGCCCTGGGTTTTCTGGACCATCGCGGCAGCGGCTTGCGAGGCGAGGGGGGGGGGGAAGCGGGCAGCGTGCGGCCACGGCATTCACCCGGCCACACACTGTGGCCCTTTGTTGGGAGTGAGATTTGGATGGAGCAGGTGAATGCTTGCGAAGAGCCACAAGGGGTGGGGGCGAAATCTCTCCAGTTGTCGTTTCACATTTGCATTCACAAGGATGCCCTTTGTGTGGAACTTTGACGAGTGGCCGGGAGACGGCGGCCTCAGCGATGCCTTTGAAGAGGGAGCCGCACAGCGCTGCACCGAATGGTGCTGTGGGCGCCCCAAAAGTGGACGAAAAGTGAAAAGGGGGATTCTGGGAGTGAAACGGCGTTGGTGGAGGTGCCGGTAGAGGGTTGTGGTCCATTGCCAATGGCATAAAAACGCCAGAATAATGTTGTTGTAACTATTAGACATGTTTGTGATATTCAATGGAAATACTTGATGGATGTTGCACATACGGGAAGCTAGTTGGCTTCGTGTGGTTAGGGGTAGGGATAGACTGTTTGGCTGGTGTGTGCCCCACTCCCATTTCAGTCAGTGCCTCCGTTAAGGAGTTTGGATTCTCACTTTAGTGTTGACCGCTAACACGGACTAGACAGTCAATCAGCCTCTGGCATTAGCCCACTCAGTTCAAGCTATCCCCCAACCTCTAACGCTAGCCCCCCCCCCCCCCCACCTTGGACTCGACAAGCAGACCAAGTTTTGTTTTCACGTTTCACTTTCGCACCGTATGTAGCCAACCACGCTAATCGGAGGTATACCGCTACATGAAGCATGTACTGCTACATTATATTTTTGTGCGCCTTCAGCTTTTGTTCCATTTTCCTTGTAATTGGCTATTCCAAGAAAGACAAATCTATTATGGTTATAATTTCCCACCATGTGCTAATTTCTGTTCACGTTGTTAGTGTAGCAGTAGTGCCTTTCCAATTCGGTAAATGAACTTGAATCTCTAAAAGGCACGAATCGACGCTTGAGAATTACTAAACGTATTGGCGTGTTTAATAAACAACGCTGGTTAATTCAGCTCAACATTGATAATCTCCCCCACCCTCGCCACGTCTCCTTCCCTAAACGATCGATCCAAGACGCGTCACACGCCACCATATTCTTCCCAAAAAACTGAGACGGGAGAGCGGATGGCACCGAGAAAATAAAGCCGCACGGGAGAAGGACGAGTTAATATCTCAAGTCGATCTCAATGGACAATGTTGCTTAAACCACGGTAGATTTTACCGAGGCTTAATTACAACAGGTTGCTGTCCCTGCTGGACGACCCGGGAAATATGTCTGTACCCGGCACACCACGTCATGTATACCGCTCGCTATGGCTGTGCCTAACGAGTCACGTGTCACCACCTCCAGTCTAAGCCTTGCTTTTCACTCATCGTTCGAACCACCCGAACTCGGAGTAACCTCACGCGCCGTGAACGTTATTTTTTTGTTTGTGATTTCCAGTGACGAGCTGTGATTTATGTAAATAAAGAGACCGAGAGACAAAATCTTGACGAATGCAGTCGCCTCGTCTTTCCCACGCGATGTGTTGCGATCTGTCGGAGCTTAAAATCCTCTCGTCGGCAAAGCTCCACGCTCGTACAAGAAAGAATGTCCGTCCTTGCATCTCCCCCGCTCTCTCCGTCTCGGCACAAAAGCGGGCGACGCTGGGTCGCCTTCCACGCACCAGGTGCTCGTGTGAGCCCCCCCCCCGTCCCGATACCTGGGCAGGTGTGTAGCGTGGGGTGAGTGGAGGAGCCTCGAGGGTGTTCCAGTGAGAAGGGCTTCCTGGCGCACGCGAGCGTGGAGTATGTACGGCTGGTGTGGAGCGGTGGTGCAACGGTCAGCGCTACGCTGCGCTCCGAACCCGGCGACCCGAGCTCGATTCGCGCTCACGGTCAACACCAGTGACGATTATCTGAATCGGTTCTGAGTATTACCTAGGTCGACTCAGCCTCAAATGGGTATCCGGTGCGATGTGTTAACATCGCCACTAGGGAGACAAAGGCGGTCGGGCGTAGTGTTGGCCATCCACCTCGTGCGCCGTACCGGCTTTCATAGGTGCTCGCTAACGGCACTTGCCCCAACAGTCGGTTGAGGCTATGCGGGCGATCTCTGTCTCTGGTATGCGTGTTTAAAGTATGGCCGGCATACGCGCTGTACAAGGCATGCGTGTGATGCGTATGGATTGTGCGTGTTGTGGATATTCATCTTTTGGGGTGACGTGTAAAGTTTTTCTGGTGTGAATTATAATCGATTACATTAATGTATCTTTAAACGAAGGCGCGTGTATGTGTGTGTGGCGTGCATGTGTGTTGTGCACGGTGTGAGTATGAAGTACCACGTGATGTCGTGCACAGTATCGGTGGGGCTGCGTTGACATCCGGGCGACACACTGCTCTAGAGAAATGCGGAGTGAATGTCGTTGTGAACCGATAACCCTTTTCAGTCAGTGACCGCGCCGCCGGTGAACGGGGTTTGAACCCGGCCACCTCCGGATTGCGAGCCCAGTTCGCGAGACGTTGGCACCGCTGTGGCAGCTGCCTTCGTTGCTCAAGTTAAAAAGCTGCAACCAATGTCACGGTACCTTCAATGGCAGGCTATTCTATGGGTGGCGAACCGGTTTTATCGATTTTCATGCGGTTACCCATTTAACAACGTAATAATGGAATATAATCATCAAACTGGAGAAGCACAGAATGAATGTCTCACATATTCGTCTATCCACGTGATAATGAGTGTGTGTCACGAGCTCACCAAGACCAAGGTCCCCCGTAGAGCCTTAGCAGACTTTTGGGGGCAAGTGCTGTTAGCGAGGAGCCGAGGCCAGCACCCCCATCCCTGTGCGCGTGAATTCATATACACGGCCCCGGCACGTACCTCCCCACGTACCTCCCCACGTACCTCCCCACGGCCCTCCCCACGGCCCTCCCCACGTACCTCCCCACTGGCGGTGGAGTCGATTCCCTGCGGACGTTCTCGACGCAGACGCGAGCGTGTGAAGAGCCGGGCGGGGTGGCACGAGACACGTGGGGGGGGGGGGGGGGTTCAGAGGGCGGGGCCTTTTGTTCAGGTGTGGGTGGAGGGGCAGGTGTGGGGTGGCAGGTGGAGCTGGAGGGGTGGGTGGAGGGGCAGGTGGAGGCGGGGCAGTTGTGGGTGGAGGTGTGAGTGAAGATGCGGGTGGAGGTGGAAGGGCATGTGTGGGTGGAGGAGTGGTTGGTGGTGCGGGTGGAGATGCAGAGGTGGGTGAAGATGCAGGTGGAGGCGGGGGGTGGGCAGGTGCGGGTGAAGGTAGAGGGGCAGGTGTGGGTAGAATGGTTGGAGGTTCGGGTGGACATGCAGGTTTGTGTGCGCCTGTGTAGGGGAGCGGTAGTGTAGCGTTTTGCGCGCTGCACTACAAACCCGGCCACGGACAATAACACCAGTGACGATAATGATCTGAACCCATTCTGGGCCTCCCCTAGGTCGACTCGGCCTCAAATGAGTACCTGGTGCGGTGTGTAGACATCGCCAGGGGACAAAGGCGGTCGGGCATAGTTTGGCCACACAGATCCTCCCTCGTGTGCCGTGCCGGTCTTAACAATAGGTGCTCGCTCAGAGCACTTTCCCCAACATCCTGTTCAAAGGCAACACGGGGGGTCTTTGTCTTTGCCTACACTGTCAAATATTCAGCCCTTACCATTCAAGTCTCATGGTTTCACACGGGCAGCGGTGGCGCATCGATTAGCACACTGACCTACTGACCCCCGCCAGCGGAGTTCGATTCCCGGGCGAGCCTTGGGCGAGCGATATCTGAACGCTGTCTGCCCACCTCGCTCCCACCCCTTCACCAACTCGCATTGACCAGGGCGGTGAAGTATGGTCAAACACACCCCCACACCCCCACCTCATCCCGCAGTGGACTGACAAAGTTACAAACACGAAATAAAAACACACAAAGGATTTTACAAAGCATCACACCACAAGGGTACACGGTATAAAGGTACAATGTTGGTAATGGATATAACAATAAATATATATACCTGCTTTTTATAAACTTCCACTGGTCGAGGTAGGTCGAAGTGAGTGCCCAGGAGACAACCACCATCATCATCACCACCACCATCATCATCACCACCATCACCACCATCATCATCACCACCATCACCACCATCACCACCACCATCACCACCATCACCACCACCACCATTACCACCACCACTACCCTCACCACCCTAATCATCACCCTCAGCTTTATCATCCTCATCACCCCAAACAACATCGACATCCGTGAACGCAAATCTCCATTCATTCGCATAACATGTCACCAGCATCATCATCATCATCGGCACATTCCATCAGCATCACCCCGCCACACACATCAACAGCAGCAAAAAATACGCAAATCATTACCATCACATCCATCATGATCATCAACAGCAACAACATCATCTCATATCTACTACCGTCCTATCCATCATCATCACCATCACCATTATCATCATCACCATTATCATCATCATCACCATCATCATCACCCCCGCGGTTGAACAGCCCACGTCGCCTGACGCCACACGCAGAGCTGTCTCCATTACCGCCACCTCCATCATCGTCGTCTCCCCGGGATAATCCGGGATGCTCCCGCGGGGGCTCACGGGGTGGGGGGGCGCTAATTGACGCGCGTGGCTCCCAGCGGCGTACAGGGACCCCCCACCCAACCACCCCCCCCCCCGTGTCTCCCTACCCCCCCCCCCGTGTCTCCCTACCCCCCCTCCCGTGTCTCCCTACCCCCCCGTGTCTCCCTAGCCCCCCCCCGTGTCTCCCTGTCTCCCTGTCCCCTCACTGTACTCACTCCACGTCCCCACCACGCGCTGTTTCGATCCCACGCAGTCGCCACCCGCCGCTCGCGTCGTGGTGAGGAATGTGGCACGGGGTCGCGGTGAGGAGGAGGGTGGTGGTGAAAGGTGAGTGGGTGGTGGTGGTGGTGATGATGAGATGAGTAACGATCTCGCTGAGCCAACTCGTCTCACGCGTGGTTCGATTCAAACCAAACACAATTGACACGAAGAGCGATGCCGGTCGTGTGCCCAGGCACGCGACACGTGGTCCCACAGAGGGCATTGCGGGTCAAGATGAGAGAATGAATGGACAGTGACCTCAATTTCCTCGCTCAGCCCACACCTGGTTCAATAATTCAAATCTGTAACTGAAAACCCAACAAAAAACAACGACCCCAACAACTTTAAAGCCGTCCTGAAACAGATTTAACAACACACCAAGAGCGCGCAGCCTTATCCAGACCACCAGCTCAAACGAACTGCACGTGTGGCCAGAATGTCGTTTAGAAGCACCAGACCTGACAGGCGAGACAATATTGCGATGGACACATTTTTTTCGAAATAAACTTTTCGACTCGGTCTTGGTGGACAACCTCCTGGCAGACGCATCCAGTTCCTCTGAGCTGGCGGTGTGGACAGGGCTGAGCGAGAGCTTGCGTAACAACACGCCCCCCCCCCCGCCGAGGCTGCCTTTACATCTCTTCCCTTCTAGATTTGAAGTTTTCGTGACTGCAATGATTCATACTCTTTGATTTTTACGGTAAAGTCACGTAGGTACATTTTTTAAAAATAAATTTAATCACGACGTTTCGGGCACAACACAAGCGTCCTCCTTCAGGTGGGGACAACTTAGTGAAAGCACAACCGCTTAAGTGTGTCTAAGTGTGTGTGTCTAAGTGTGTGTGTCTAAGTGTGTGTGTCTAAGTGTGTGTGTCTAAGCGGTGTGCTTTCGCTAAGTTTTCCCCACCTGAAGAAGGACGCTTGTGTTGCGCCCGAAACGTCGTTATTTAATTTATTTTTTAAAAATTTACCTACGTGACTTTACCGAATAAAAATCAAAGAGTACATCTCTTCCCGGTGCGACACAACAGCGAGCGTTCACGTGGCCACGCACGCGCGCGCGCGTGGCCACGTGGGTCTCACGTAGACGTCGGCGAGTGACCAGCGCGGTGAGGCCGGAGCGCGTTGCTTGACCCCCCTCACCCCTCCCAAGCCCCCCCGGTGTGTGGTGGGGGGCCGGGGGGGGGTCACACGAGCAGAGCCGCGTGGCTCTCGCCGCGGCACCGACACCGCTCCCGCCGCTCCTCCCGCACCCACGAGCCCCGGCAGCCGGGCACCCAGGCAGCCTCCCAGAACGTCCTGGGCGCACGGAGACAATGGCAGCAGCGCAAGCACCTTGCTGATGAGTCCCGTTGACGGAGAAGCCACCCGGCCGCCAACTACCCCCCCCCCCCCCCACTGTGTCCTGTCAATGGTTTACGGTGTTAGGGTACTTTTTGTATTGTGTGTGTTGTTGTATTGTGTGTGTTGTTGTATTGTGTGTGTTGTATTGTGTGTTGTATTGTATGTGTGTTGTATTGTGTGTGTTGTATTGTGTGTGTTGTTGTATTGTGTGTGTTGTTGTAACGTTCTTACCCCGTGCCCCTACTGGATAAAAAATAAAGATATAAATTGTCATTATGTAGCGTGCTGTGGTTGGTATTCGTGATGATGATGATGATCTCACGCTTGTGATGAGTATGTTATGATGATGATGTGTCGGTTGTCTGTGATGATGACGACATGATGATTGTGATCTGGTGTTCATGATCATCATCATGGTCTCGATGAATACGATGATGACACTGATAACGATACAGCTGATGATGAAGCCGCCGCCGCCGCTGCTGCTGCTGATGATCCTGACGTTAATGATGACTATGAACTGAACATCCCACAATCATCTTCTCAACATGACAATCCTCCGTTTAACACGGAGGATTTCTCCACAAACCTGGCTGTCGCCTGATGAAGCTAGTTGTACTTACTGGCGAAACGTCGTACTCGAATTGTCAATGTTGTGGGTTTACTCACCAACACACAACAGGCGCGCTGTACTGGTAACGAATCGTCACGTTCTGTTGACGTGACAACCCCTTACGAATTGGCCGTGTCGGGTGGTGGCGGGTTTAACGACACCACATCTTATATATCTACGCGATCTACCCCAACAAAAACCTCTATCATGGGTGACAATAACCCACACACTCCTCAACATCAACCATCACACACACGTGATGAGTGTAAGCATTGAGTGTGGGGGGAAGTGGGGGGGGGCTCCTCACGTGATCGCATGCACCCCCTCCCCCGGACACCCCCCGCGAGCCCCGCCCCTCGCCGCCCCTCCCCTGCACTCGGCGCACACGCGGTGCCCGCGGCGCAGGCGATTGGCCCAGAGCGCAGCCGCCTGCCCCGGCGGCGGGTAGGAGAGGGCCCGGTTCGACACCGGACCCGGGAGTTGACAGCCGCTGCTCACGTGGTCCACGCGAAAGTAGACGCAGTGGCTGAGAACGACGGCGGCATTGGAGGAGGAGGGAGGAGGAGGAGGGAGGGAGGAGGGAGGAGAGCAGAGCGTGAAATCGATTGTGAAATTTTTCATTTAAAAAGGGGGGTGGGGGTGGTTTACATAAAGCAAAGCATTAAAAAAACGAAATGATCAACGAAGCAAAGTGTCGACTACACCGAGCATCTTCTTCTTGTTTCCTCTGATGGTAAAAAAACGAGAGGAGAGAATGTCACCGTTGCGGCGCGTGCCATGAGATTGGCGAGTGGCGGCGTGAGGCTCGGGGTAGCGGGCGGAATTTGCTCTACCGTGGCTGCCGCTGTGTGTAGGCCGAACTTCTTTAGCACCGCACGTAGCCAACAGCGCTAATCGGAGGTGCGGGGGAAGGACAACAAACTAAACACAAGAAGCAGTTCTAAAGAAATGCGTTTGTCAATCTAGATGATGATTTCAAAGTGCACGGCTAAAGTGGCTTCCTGATATCGGAAGGAAGAGCGTTCCAGACGGCCACAGAAGCGCGTCTGAAAGCGCGCGACGCGGTGACCACCGCCTTTGTGTGATGGTTAGCCAGAAGCGAGGTGGATGAATGTGTGAGTGGGGTTGGTGGAATGGGTGGATGGGTGAGTGAGGTTGGTGGATGGGTGGGGTTGAGGGATGGGTGGATGGGTGAGTGGGGTTGGTGGATGGGTGGGTGGGGTGGATGAATGGGTGAGTGGGGTTGGTGGTGAGTGGGTGGGTGGGGTTGGTGGTGGGTGGGTGGGGTTGGTGGTGAGTGGGTGGGTTTGGTGGTGGGTGGGGTTGGTGGTGGGTGGGTGGGGTTGGTGGTGGATGGATGGGTGGGGTTGGTGGTGGGTGGGGTAGGTGGATGGGTGGGTGGGGTTGGTGGATGGGTGGGTGGGGTGGATGAATGGGTGAGTGGGGTTGGTGGTGGGTGGATGGGTGGGTGGGGTTGGTGGTGGGTGGGTGGGGTTGGTGGTGGGTGGGTGGGGTAGGTGGATGGGTGGGTGGGGTTGGTGGATGGGTGGGTGGGGTTGGTGGTGGGTGGATGGGTGGGGTTGGTGGTGGGTGGATGGGTGGGTGGGGTTGGTGGTGGGTGGATGGGTGGGTGGGGTTGGTGGTGAGTGGATGGGTCGGTGGATGGGTGGGTGGGGTTGGTGGTGGGTGGATGGGTGGGTGGTTGTATTGTCGGCATGGTGTTCCCCATTTGGTTGTCACACCAACAGGTGAAGCTTGCGTCTGCGTTGTGTGTCTCCTGTAAAGCGGAGACAGCCGAGCGCGAATCACGCGGAATGGGCCCCGTCTCAACATCGGAGGCTCAACGCGGCGTTGAGATTGGACGGCGTTTGGATGGGGCGACCGCCACGCATAGCCCACGAGCACCACCATCATCATCACCATCACCCCGCGCCTCCACCATCACCACCATCGCCAAGACCACACTCACCTGGGTCCCTCCTCCATGAGCACCACGTGGGGTCTCCTCCAGGGGTCCTTCTGCTCCTGCCGGTAGAACTCGGGCAGCAAGCTGGCCATCTCTAGAGGGCAGACAGACAGAGCGTACCACGATTTTAAAAGAAAATACATTTTATTTTACCAGGTAAGGCCCACTGAGCTATGTAGCTATTTTTTTTTCAGAAGCGACCTGGTCACAAATGATAGCTCAACGAAGTGGCTTATCATCGTGTGGACAATTAATGATAGCAGTGGCCAAATACTCTACGGGATATACGTGGCGCCTCTATCAGACGGTTAGCGAGCACCTATTAAGGTCGGCACGGCGAATTAGGGGGTCAGCACCACGCCCAGGCACCCCCCCCCCTCCCATCAGTGTTGACGCTGTCCACGCACCGCACCACGTACTCATTTAAGGCTGAAGAAGTAACTAATTGGCGTTTTGTTAACGTGACACATTTTTTACTTATTGGCCGTGTCGGCTGGTGGAGGGTTGCGACACATTTATAAATAACGCGATCTAACCCAAAAACCCTCGATTACGGGCGCACTTTAGTTACCCTCCGCGCCGCGGCAAGCGTTGCCCTGGGGGCTGTAGCAGCCGCGCCGCTGCCTCAGGTCCCGGCAGCCCCGGCCCCCGTTCCTCGGGGGCACGAGGACGTCACGGGCGCGGCTCTGCTTGCCCTGGGCGCACGCGGAGTCGCACGGAGACCAGGCGCCCCACGGCCCCACGGCGCAGTCCACCGCTGTGGGGGGGGGGGGGGGGGAGACGCCGGGACACGCGGACAAGAGACATGCGAGGAGAGAGAGAGACACGCAGACAGAGAGACACGTTGAGAGAGAGACACACACGAACAGAGAGACATGTGGAGAGAGAGACGCGGACAGAGAGACACGTGGAGACAGAGAGAGAGACACGCAGACAGAGAGACACGTTGAGAGAGAGAGAGAGACACACACGAACAGAGAGACACGTGGAGAGAGACACGTGGAGAGAGACACCCGGATAGAGAGAGAGAGACACACACACGAACAGAGAGACACGTGGAGAGAGAGACGAGGACAGAGAGACAGGCGGACACAGAGACACGCGGACAGAGAGAGGGACACGGAGAGGGTTTCAGTAGTGCGAGACGCCCCTGCTCAACATCGCTCAGAGCGCGCACTGCTCTTAACATCGCAAAGAGAACTCCAACCTCGAACCTCAAGACTCGACGACTTCCAGCTAAGAAGCGGGGTCCACGGGCTGACAATGTAATACTAGTAATCACAATTGTACACACTGAGGATGACTCCTGTTGAGGAGGGTCCTGCTGCCGCCACATTGTAGTTTATTTTAAGAAGTTTTCGGCCCCCAATGAATGATGAGTTGTGTTTATTATCACACTCGCATTATTATTATTGTACCACGTGGAACGAGGAAACCGGAGCACCCGGAGAAAACCCACGGCTTGCACGAGGCGAAAACAACACTCTATCCCCGTACAGATGGAAACAGGTGGCGATCAGTCCACTTGCTGCACCGCCTTCCCCTGGCGAGCCCAGGGTATGTGGCAACCTCCTCGACGCCCTGGGAGTTTCACAACATCCGTGCGGTGATCCACCAACCCTCGCTGCTGCCTCCACGGCGCGGGCCTACGGGCAGTCACGTGCAGTCACGGGCAGTCACGGGCAGCAGCGTAGCCACCGCCACCACCAACAATGGAACACGCCGCTCAAGCCCGGGTCCACGGAGAGGTCAGCGAGACCCAAACCTGACCTCTGTGGTCCCCGTGTCCACAAACACTGAACTCCCAAACACCAAATTTCGACCACACACACCAAGACCCTGGGGGGAGAGAGGCGAGGGGGAGGGGGGATGGTCGTGGGTGGATGGGATGGGATGAGTGGATGGGATGGGGGCACGTGATGGGAAAGGGTGGATGGTATGGATGGATGGGATGGATGGCATGGGTGGATGAGATGGGTGACATGGGATGGGTGCACGTGATGGATGGATGGGATGGGTGACATGGCATGGGTGGATGGGATAGCTGGAACGGGGCGGGGAGGATGCAGCGATGGTGGCGACGGTTGCTGAAGGGGGAGGACAGACTCACAGGGGGACGAACCACAGTCCAATCTCACTGAGTCCCAAGGCTCGTTTTCAGGAGAGTCCTGCTACATTGGAGTTGTTTGGCCAATTAATTTGGAAACAGTGAGCGTGTTGCTTCTTGTGTAGTTAAGCTAGTTACGCTAGTTAAGCGAGTTAAGCTAGTTAAGCGAGTTAATCTAGATACGCTAGTTAAGCTAGATATGCTAGATACGCTAGTTAATCTAGTTAAGATAGATACGCTAGTTACGCTAGTTACGCGAGTTAAGCTAGTTAAGCGAGTTAAGCTAGATACGCTAGTTAAGCGAGTTAATATAGTTAAACTAGTGACACTAGATACGCTAGTTAATCTAGTTAAGCTAGTTACGCTAGTTAATCTAGTTAAGCTAGTTAAGCTAGTTACGCTAGTTAAGCTAGTTACGCGACTGCTGACGACCCCTTCAGTGGCCTCTGCACCACCACTCGAGGTAGTGGCCCTGCACCTCGCTCCGATATCGAGGCGTTCGTTCCAAGCGCAAGGAATCTGTAAATCTCGGAATTATAATCTATCGGAACGAAAACAACTACAACTATTAAACTGATTATTATTATTACCACCATCGTGTGGAAATGTATCGCAGCCAAATGCTCTAAACGCACGCCGATTCTAAATGTGCAGGGGAAAAACCGGATGACCCGGAGAAAAATCCTCGCGGCCGCGGGGAGAGAGACACAAAAACTCCCGTCGGGGTCGAACCCACGACCTCCTGTATACCTGGCGAGGTAGTGAACATCTCATAGCCACCGTGATGATGATGAAAGGGGCAAACTCCAAATATACCGCAGGCGTCAGGGTCGGGATCGAATCCACGCCCCCCTGTAACCTGGCGAGGTAGTCAACATCTCACACACACCCGGGCGCGGGAGTCGGCTGAATCCGCCCGCCTTAGCAAGGCGATGCTGCTCACTGATGAATTGCGCCCCCCCCCTCGCCCTCCCCCCCCGGTTCGCGTGGACACACAGCGTGGCCGTGTCAGCTGGGTGGCTGCTCTGACATGGCCATTATCAATAACTTTCACGTTGCCATCATCTATCTATCGATCTATGTACCTCAACACGGTTGTTAGAGACTCGATTTGTAGACTACAGTTTAGACACTGTTGAGTAGAACCCTGGGAAATTCGATTTTTTTTGGGGGGGGGGTGGCGAGAGCTGGGTAACTAGCGATGTTGAGGGGGGGGGGCTCCTGAAAACATAAAGCCTGCCCCCCTTCTTCTTTGTCCACGGATTGATGGTGGGGGCAACTGTCAGCCCTGCCCCCCCCCCCCCCCCCCCACTATCTTTCCACGCCTACGTGGGAGAGGTGAGGTCCCACATTCTACCGAAACAACTTGGCCCGGAGTTGACTCCCCACGCGCGCGCCCTTCCTGAGCCCCACGCACCACCACAGGATGGGGGGCATCGTGGACATGGTAAGGTGGGGGGGGGGGGGTGTCAGGGGGGGGTTCACAGGTAGGGGAGATGGGGGGGGGTCAGGTGAGGGAGAGGTGGGGTGGGGGCTCACCGCTTTCCCGGCAGACGCGCGCGTGGTCGGGGCAGCAGTCGCCCGTCCTCTCGCAGTGCGCGTCGCAGTAGCAGAGCGCCTCGCGGGCTCGCGGGACCGGACCCCCCACCGCGTCGTCGTCGAGGCCGCGGCACGAGTTGTCGCGGCCCGGGCAGCAGCGCGGGCCGACGGCGTCCGGCCCGGCGTCTAGAGCGGCTGCTGCGGCAGCGGCGGCGTCTCGGGCTCGGCATGAACCCGCGGCGGTGGCGAAACGCGCACCGCTCAACAGCAGCAGCAGAAGCAGCAGCAGCAGCATCCTCGTCGGCGGACGGGATGATGATGATGATGCAGAGGAGGAGGATGGGAATGTAGAGGAGGATGAAGAGGAGGATGAAAAGGGACGAAGCACATTGGCAGGCATCGTGGCGACGCCGGAGAGGTGAGCGAGCCGAGCGGATGGAGGCGACAATTCGAGATGAGCGGTGGCGCAGAGGTGTGGCGCGGAGTCGGACAGGAGAAGGAGAGGAGATCGAAGGGAGGAGCGGCGATCACAGATCCCGGAGAGAAACGGGGTCCTTGCGGGGGGTGGGCGCTGTCACTCTTCAGGGATGGAAGACGGAAGAAAGATCTTGAAGAATTGTCCCGTGGATGTTGACTGGGCGCACTGCGCTGCTCTGAGATTTACCCGCGGCGGATCGCGGGACCCCGGGACAAGCGGGGTCGCTCCTGCGTGTGGACTTTCACGAGATTGATGTAAGAAGTGAGTGCGAGGGGGAGGCAGGGTGGGTGGGTGGGAGGAGGCAAGAAGGCTGGGGGGGGGGGGAGCAAGTGGAGGGAGGCGGCGCGGTTTGACTTTTTTGCGCAAAAATACAAAAAACACAAAACAACAAAAAACTGCGATCCCGCGTGGGTGGGTGGCCAGGGAGGTGACGGCTACGGACAGCGGTAGGAGGGCGAGGAGGGCGAGGAGGGGGGGGTGGGTCAGCTCGTGTACAGGGGGTGGAGGGGACGCAGAGTGAAAAGTCAACCACGTGGACGCGTGGGGGTCTCTGACCCGGGTGCCCCTCGCCGGACTTAACCCCCCGCAGGGCCGCTCGCTCCACTTGGAGGTGAAGCTCAGCGTCAATCATTGTTGTGAATGGGGACGGTGGATGAGAGAGTGGAGAGGAGTGGGGGGGGGTCATGGATTCTAGAGTAACGTTCAGGCCCGAGCGATTCCACTGCTGGATGAAGGCCTCCCCGCGCACGCTGGTGTCGGTCATGGGGCGGGGGGGGGGGGGGTTGTGTGACCATACTTCACCACGCTGGTTTTCGCGGGTTCATGAGGAAGACGGAGGTTGGGCAGAGCCCGTACAGATATATCACTCGCCGCTGACGTTAGCCGTGGTCGGGAATGGAACTCGGCTCGATGAAGTGGTAAGAGCAGCGCGCCACCCATCAATGTGAGGGGCGGGGTGGTGATAATCACTTGAGGTGTTTGGGAAATGAGAGATGTGCGGATGCATCGGTGGCCTAAGTGGAGGAAGCACGCAGCATCGCACACGCAGGTGGGTCACTTCCGCGGATTTTTAAATCCACGTGTGTTTTTTAATAGTGTACAACACGCGAATGTTCCACTGTTTCAAGCAAATTAATTAACGTAATTACAACCACTAGCATTACCATCATCATCATCTCCAACATAATTTTCTATTCGCATAATTATTAAAATTCAGTGTCAATCGATGAACATTTAAAAAAGTCTTCGACTTATGCATTGCACACGCGTAATCGCATTGGTTCAATTTCCCACCATGCAAATAAATCATCCACCCGTTACCCCGTTACTTATACCTCGTTACCCGTTACTTGCACCTCGTTACCCGTACCCGTTACCTTTGCACCCCTGAAAATACCCACCCTGTCACGCCTCTTCCTAACCTACGGTCGCAGTCCGTTTAATCCCAGCACCAAAACCACACCACGTGCGGTTAAACATTCACCACGCCGAACCGCATCAATCCCTCTCCCCCATTCTCCTGCTCGACTCGCGAATCGATCACACGAGGACATCCTCCCTCGAGAGGGGGGCCAGGGGGTGGGCTGGGGGGGACAAGAAGGGGGATCGAGGGGACCTGGCTTGGACCTGTGGGATCTGTCAAGGTGTGCTACACAGCAGTGGCGAGTTTATATGAGACTTGGCGTGGTGGGGGGGGGGGGGCGAATTAACAATCGCGCTGTTTGTTGCTGTCCGTTTGGCGTTTTGTTGCCTTTGCTCGGCAACGGTGGTTTTAAAATACCCCCCTCTGCCTCCACACACGAACTCTGCCCCCTGTCGGAAGCAGCTTTGCCGGGTGATTCGGGGGGGGGGGGCACTCACGTTAAAGGTCAAGAGGTCAACCCAGCTAATGCCACTGTTACCACCACCACCATCACACACCCCGCTATCGCTCCCTTCCTTCTGCCAGATCCTGCAGCAGTGAATGCGCAAGGGACACCTCGCGACCTCCAAGATCTGCTCTTACAATCTCGTCCCCGACTCACGGAGTGTGTGTGTGTGGGTCTGTGTGTGTGTGGGGGTGTGTGTGTGTGTGGGTGTGTGTAGGTATGTGTGTGTGTGTGGGTCTGTATAGGTATGTGTGTGTGGGGGTGTGTGTGTGTGGGTGTGTGTAGGTATGTGTGTAGGTATGTGTGTGTGTGGGTCTGTGGGTCTTGCCCCCCATACGAAATGGTTGCCCCCCCCCCCTCTTCGTCTCGTGTCATAGAAGCCCCGTGGACGAGGACGGGCGCACCGCGCTGGGTCCAACATCCCCCTGGTGGTGGTGGTGGGGAGGGTGCGAGGCTGAGGATCCAAGTGCGACCCCTGTGAAGACGTGGGGCTCGCATGTGGGGGGCCGGAGCGGTGGAGGGGGGGGGGGGGGTTGTGGTGGGAGGGGTAGGTGGGGAAGAGGGAGGGAGGAAACGGAACGTTCCAGTGCCGGGGACTCAGTCGGTTTTCCAGACGCGGTTGAGGACCTTGACCACCTCGTCGTAGATGATGAAGACAATGGCTACATCCAAGCACACGCGGCCCAGGCGCGGCACCGTGCCCTTGTAGAACCTGGGGTGGGGGGCAGAGCAGGACGCGACAGGGGGGTGGTTAAAGGCGCAGCCCTGCAATTGCCCGATCGTGTGACTGCTGGCGGAAGGAGCTCAAGTCATAACCTCTAACCTCTGGCTAGACACTTCCACCGCGCCTTTCACCGGGAGGGCACGCGGGTCACGTGTCTCTGTCCTGCCATGGAGGCCGTGGCGGTGGCCGCTTCGTCAACCGCTCCGGGGCGGTGACCGCTCGCCGCTGCACAGATCTCTTCCAAAAGCGGGACACTAAAGATGACCCCCACCACCACCACACCCCCCCGCCACCCCCCCCCCACAAGGCAGTAACTACGGCCAACCCAACCGCAAAATGAACTACGCAGTTTGTATTCTGTTCAACTTCTTCTGCACCGTACGTAGCCAACCGTGCCAATCGGAGTCTGTGCATCGTTCTAATTCTGAGTCCGCTCTCCGGCGGACCGGGGAGCGTTCGTAGCGCTAATCCCTAAGCCAGGGGTTGGCAAACTGCGGGGCCGCGTGCGGTGCCTCTTTAAGGACCGCTCAGTGACGCGTCTCGTGTTCACCACACAGTGCGCATTGCGGCACTTGAAATATAGTTTTTTTTTCCCGAATTCGAAAAAACGGCTGTCCTTGTTATCTTGGTTTTTCCGACCCCTGCCCTAAGCTATCATTATCACCATCTCACAACAACAACAAGTGCCATTCGCCACTAAGTGGCGGTGACGTAACCACGGTGCTTGTGCCAGGCCATGTGCACTGTAAGGCCACGTGAAGTGTCGCACGTCCAGATGGCAGGAGGTCACGGGACAGACCCAGGTGCCATGGGTTGACTGACTGAGATGATTGGCAGATGCACCACCACCTGTGCACACCGTGTCAACCCGTACGGTTTAGCGCCGTATTCTTGTACGCAGGGAAACTGAGTTTACAGGTCCATACGGCGTACAGCCGTTTCAATACGGGCAACAAACATTTTGTTGTCTAATTGTTTGCGTTTCTCCCTTGTGATGGGACTTTGTAGGATGAACGTTGAGATTTGTAAGGGCACGGGGTGACCAATAAGGTCTGATTTGGTCTGTAATAAGGTACATACTGATAAGGGGTTGGCAGCTATATGGAAGGGAGGGGTGACGAGGCTAGGGAGACCGTGTTTTCGTTTAAGCTTAATCGAATCGTCGATTAACTTTCGTTTCGCTTGCTCTGTCTCCATCAGCGTCAGCCAACCACGCTCCGTCCCATTCATGAATCCCGTGGGAACGCGACACGTGACATTTTCGTGCGACGAGTCTCAAACACTCGACGGGTAAACCGTGAGCGCAAGAAGATCAATTCGTAATCGATTGGTCGGTTCCCGTCGACGACTCTCCCTGGGTGCGATGCGTAAACCCACGCTTTGGCTCCCTCCTTGGTGGCGATCTGGTAAGCGCAGTCCCACGTGCTCTTGTACTTGTGCGCATCCAGGCCCTGCCAAGGGGTCACGGTCACCAACAGGTCAAAAACAGGTTACCAACAGGTCACCGCGGACAATGTTTTTAAAAATTTTACCAAGTAAGGGCACATTGAGCTGCACGGCTTTTTTTCAGAAGCGACCTGGCCGCAAATTAACGAAGTGGCTTATCGTGCGGGAATGTAGAGCCGGCAAATACTATGAACGCGTGACGTTGATTTTAAATGTAGAGGGAAAAACTGGGGGACCCCGAGAAAAATCCACGCGACCACGTGGAGACACGCGCAGATTCCAAATATACAGCAGCAGGCGTCAGGGCCGGGATAGAACCCACGCCCTCCTGTAAACCAGGCGAGGTAGTTAACATCTCCGAGCTACCGCGGCGCCCGATGTCACCGATGCACTCCACCACCACGCCCCGGGGCCATCGCTTCCTTCCTCCTGCCGGATCCCACAGCAGCGGTCGAGCGATGTACGCCTGGCCGCGAAGGGCTTGGTCTCGCCGCTGCACTCCAAACTCTGACCCTAGCTCTAAACCTAAACCAATAACCCTGAACTGTGAACTCTGACCCCAAACCTAAATCCTAATTCTAACCCGAAGCCATAACCTCTAACCCTTGTCTAAAACCCTAAACTCTAACCTAAAATCCTAACCCCACTTCTTAACCTTGACCCTAAATAATTAATCTGTCTCTAACCTTAACCACGAGCCCTGACGGTACACATAACGCTTAACCCTAACCTCGAAACTCTAAACCATAACCCTACTCGCTAACCCTAACGCCTAAAGGCGACATCCAACTCTGACCTTGAATCTTGAACCCCTAAACTTAACCGACCCCAACCACGCGGTTCACCTCGCAGCGCAACGGGGCCCCCTGGCGGCCAAAGGAGTAACCGCGACACCGCGAAGTCAACGATCATCATCAGCAGGAGCAGCAGCATTATCATTATAAGCACCATCATTTGCATCATTGTCATCAGCAGCAGCAATCGACAGCACCATTATAATCACCGTTATCATAATCAGCAGCATCAGAACCATCGTTATCATCATCATCAACGTGACCATCATAATCTTGGGGTTTTTCGGTAAAGTCACGTAGGTAAAAAAATTTAATTAATCAAAGTAGAATAAAATACAATTAATTTAATTTTTTTACCTACGCGACTTTACCGAAAAAACCCAAGAATATGAATCCTTGCAGTCACGAAAGCTTCAAATCTAGAAGTGACCATCATCAGTTTGGGCGTCTTTACAAGCACCATCGGTACCATCCACATCATCAGCATCATCCTCATCCGCAGCAGCACCATCAGCAGCACCATCATCATGATAGGCAGCGCCATCATCATGATAGGCATCACCATCACCATCAGCAGCAGCAAGTCTTTATTCACGGCTAGTTCTAATGGACCCTGGGGAAGTGGGGGTGTTGGGGGAGTCTGGGGTAACGGGGGGAGCCCCCCTAGGGGAGCCCGGTGGAGTGCGTGGAGGGTCTCACCTGCATCCTGGTTTTGACGACGTCGAGGGGGGTGTTGCCGAACACGCTCGCAGCTCCCGCTGTAGCCCCGAAGACCCCCGTCACCAGGGGGTTCATGGGGCGATTGGGGTCATCGCCTGGACGGGGTTCGGAGGCGGGGTGGGGTGGGGGGAGGAGAGGGAGGGAGATAGGGGGGGGGAGTTCGAGTTTTGTTGAACGAGGTGAGGACTCAAGCGTCGAGGAGGGAGCGGTCGTCGGTTTTGAACGAGTGACCTGGGCCATCCAAAATGATGAAAGCGATACAAAGAAACAACAACAACTGCACGTGGCGTTGGGGTTCGGGATAGAGTTCGGCCTATGGCTAGAGTTGAGGTTAAAGTTCTGCTTGGGATTGGAAGTATCGTTGGGGTTCGGGTTAGGATGAGGGATTAGAATTGTGGCGATAGTTAGACTTGGGGTCAGTATTCGGGTCAATATCAGTGTTGGGGTTGATGTTGGGGTTAGGCTTAAGAGTCGTCGGGTCTCTGCGTGAGTGACCCCCCCGCCTCCCCGGCCCCCCGCCCCCACCGCGCTCCGCCCACCTCGGTACCAGTTGCGTAGTGACGTCATGACGTAGAAGCGGATCGCCTGGTTGCTGCCCTGCTTGAGCACCGTGGCGGTGAGGCCCTGATAGGTGCCCCGCACACCTGGTGAGCACACAGGTGCGGGGGGGGGGGGGTACAGGTGAGCGCACGGGTGAGTATACAGACGAATATACAGGTGAGTGCACAGGTGAGAAGATAGACTCAGAGTAGCCAACGGGTGGGGCTGCGGGTGAGAGTACGGGTGAGTGCACAGGTGAGTGTACAGGTGATTGTACAGGTGAGTGTACAGGTGAGTGCACAGGTGAGTGTACAGGTGAGTGCACAGGTGAGAAGATAGACTCAGAGTAGCCAACGGGTGGGGCTGCGGGTGAGAGTACGGGTGAGTGCACAGGTGAGTGTACAGGTAAGCGTACAGGTGAGTGTACAAGTGTGCTCGAGGGGGGTCAGTGGTGAGCATATTCTCACCCTCTTGGCGCACGATCTCCCGCACGCCGTGGAAAAAGCCCCTGTACTTGGGGTTGGGTGAGCACTGGTCGTGGATAAATTTGACCTGCGGGGCGGAAAGTACACACACGTGTACACACACGTGTACAAGGACCCGCGCACGTGTACACACGTGTACACACACGTGTACACACGTATACAACAGAGACGCACGCGCATGTGTACACACAGATTTACGAGCAATCACCACTAACAGCAGCATCATCGTCATCAGCTGCAGCATCTTAGTCATCGTCATCATCATCAGCAGCAAACAGCACAATGTATATGTAGGAGCACAGAGCTTGGGCACTCGTTGGTAGCGCGCGTTCTGGCTGCGTTGGCGCTCGTCTGTAGATTGCCGCGCCTCTGAATGCACAAATGTGCGGCCTCGTCTCGAGCTGTGCGGGGAGACCCCAACGACGCGAGGCCGTCGACTGCGCGGTGACGGCGGCGAGAAGTCGCGGGGGAACGAACGGACGGACGGACGGACGGACGGACGGACGGACGGACGAACGAACGAACGAACGGACGGACGGAATGAATGGAGTCAAGCGAAAGCGATTGGGGGGGGTGCGAGCGGGGTGGGTGGCGGGAACTGGGATGGCGAGCGGTACAAGCGGAGGAGGTGGAGCGAGGAGGAGGAACGGCATTGGAGAAGATTTGTGTCAAGTGTGAGGAAGAGGAACGAGGAGGACGATGATGATGAGGAGCGATACGGAGACACAGGAGGAGTGTGGAGAGTGAGGATTTGGAGGTGATGGGGGGGGGGGGCAGGGAGAGTAGGAGGGATGGGGGGAGGAGGGGGCCTGTGTCAGCTAAAACAGCAGCAAGGTCAATCAGCAGCGGAGGGCGCAGGAGGAGGAGGAGGGAGGGAGGAGGGGGGGAGGGAGGGCGCAGGAGGAGGGATGGAGGGCGCAGGAGGAGGGGGGGAGGGCGCAGGAGGAGGAGGGCGCTCGCTCTACGGGACGAGTGGCGGCCCTCGCGAGCTCCGAGCGGGGGGGGGGGCTTCTCCACCCCAGCCCCACCCTCCCCACCCAGCCCCTCCCCACCCTCCCCACCCAGCCCCTCCCCACCCCTCCCTCCCCTCCCCACCCAGCCCCTCCCCACCCTCCCCACCCAGCCCCTCCCCACCCCTCCCTCCCCTCCCCACCCAGCCCCTCCCTCCAGACCCAGCTCCTCCCTGCACGACGGACGGGCGGACACAATAATCCCCTGTGGGCTGGTGTAATAACCAGAGGTTCCTACCAGTATGACTTTTAAAACATTGTTTTAAATAAAAGAACACCCGCGATGAAGAACCGAACCTACTGTGGCCAGGTCCAAAGAGCCTCCACCGCTTCACACCGCCACAGGATCCAAAGTCCCGCAGCTATCAACACCACCGCACCGTGACCCCTCAACCTCTACCTCAGCTCTTGTCGCACCCCTAAGCACCACCTCAATGCCCTGATCGTTATGCCACCGAGGAGCGAGCGAGTGAGTGGTTGATGATGCGGTGGGGGGCGGTGGCGTAGCGGTTAGCGCTACGAACCCGGCTATGACTGGAGTTTGATTCTCGTTTACGGCCAACACCGGTGGCGATTATCTGAACCGGTCCTGGGCCTCCCCTAGGTCGACTCGGCCTCAATTGAGTACCTGGTGCGGTGTGTAAACATCGCCACTAGGGAGATAAAGGCGGCCGGGCGTGGTGGTGTCCAGCCACCTCCTCGTGTGCAGTGCCGGCCTTCATAGGTGCTCGCTAACAGCACTTGCCCCAACAGTTGGTTAAGGCTACACGGGGGATCTTTGTCTTTTGGTGGTTTACAGAGATTAGCGCGCCGCGTTGTGAACCGGGCGACCCGAGTTTGATTTCCGGCCCCAGCTAAAACCAGGGGCACTCAAGCGAAATCTGAACGGGTCCTGAACGCGTCCACTCCCCACCACAACAGCTTCACCAATCCGCAACGACGGGCGTGGTGAAGTATAGCCACACAACCTCCTGTGACCGGTGTGGCATCGGGGAGGCGTTCATCTATCAGCCGCAGCGGCAGCAGCAGCAGTAGCAGCGGGAAGGCCCCGCTCCCGAGTCTCGAGTCTGGTTCAGAGGAGGCTCGGTGCTTAACATTCGGGATGTTTGGTCGATTTCTCTCTTTTATCAAAAGGGGCAGGAGCCGGAAAAACATCCCGGGAAACAGCGCTCCAAGTTCCACACAGATGGGTTCACAGACCCACTCGCTGCGAAGACCATCGCCCGGCGAGGTTTGATACGCTCGCGAATCTCGGCGTGATCCGGCAACTCCTTGCCTGGATCACAGTCCACCTCGCCCGGATGCAGCTTTACATATTTATTTATTGTATTTAACCCCACAAACAACGACCAAGGGATCCGCGCCGATGTTGTTTGTTTGTCGGGTCATCACCGCGCCGTCGAGATGTTAACTACGTCGCCTGGTGTACAGGAGGTCGTGGGTTCGATACCGACCCTGACGCCTGCTGTATATTTGGAGTTTGCGTGTCTCTCTCTCATCATCATCACCACAGTGGCTAGGAGATGTTAACTACATCGCTTGATATGCAGGAGGTCGTAGGTTCCATCCCGACCCTGACGCCTGCTGTGTATTTGGAGTTGGGCACGATGTCCGACGTTTCGCTCCTCGTCGTGCTCGGGGGAGCTCATCCGGGAAGTTCCATCATTGCCGGCACGGCGCGCGGTACGAACTGAACCGACGACCCCGAGGGTGACCTCATCGCCCAAGTCGGCAGGGAGTGGTGCGCGGCTCCCTACGTCACAACAGTGGCCACGCCACGTGGGGGGGGGGTGGCTAATGTACGTATCCCCCCACCCCCTCAGCCCCCCCCCCCGGCCCCTTTCTCTCCAACTCTCTGGAGTTTTTGCTCCGCCGCTTCTTGCGCAACCCACAAAGCCACCGCCGCCTCCCCCGCCCGATAATCAGAGCCACACAGCGCGCGTGGAGGTCACTCGGACAGAAAGTGAGACCCGGGCACCGTCAACAGCGGCCACGCCAACGTGGTCATGAAATAAAGCCACGGCATGTGAGTGGTGCCAGCCACGCGACCAGCCAGCCAGACGCCAGCCCTAAACAATTAGCCAGCCACGAGCCCGAATCATAAGCAATGTAGCACATCTTTTTCGATTTAAAGCTTTCGTGACTGCAGGGATTCATCTTCTTGGTTCTTTCGGTAAAGTCACGTAGAAGGGAAGTAATATGTTTTATTTTTATTATTTTATTACTTCCCTTCGACGTGACTTTACCGAAAGAACCAAGAAAATGTAGCACATCGTCTAATCTCCGGTTGGATATGCCCCTATATAGATCTATATGTAAAACAGCTCAAGCCACGCCCACTCTGAAAACAGACGCCGCTGCTCCTCCGTGCTGCTCTCTGCTGTTCGCTCCTTCCTGTTTATCCTCGTTTCTTCCCTCCCCTCTCATCATCCCCTTCGACATCTTGGCCTGGTCATCCCTCCCTCCCTCCTCTCTCCTCATCCAGAGCCGTGCCCTCATCTTTGTCCGTCTCGGGGACTTCCGTCTAGGCCATCCCTTCCCTTTCCCGCTCCTTTCTCTTTTCCCCAAACATTACATCCTTGACATAATACTCCCCTTCTCAGCTGCCGTGGCCATGGGTAAAAGTTTATGTTCTATTATCAGTTCTTTAACCACAACAGATACGACTGAGCTCGTCCTTATGCCACTCGTTAATGATCAGCGATGCGATGAGGGCCGGGGTCAAATTTCATCCGAGTGTTGGCACGGGGGCGACATTCCAGAGGCGTGGACGCTGGACTGTGGCGGGCCCCATGCTTTCGCTAGCACGGGGGGGGGGGGGGACACAAAGACAAAGACGGCCCCGTGTAGCCACCACGAACTGTTGGGTCAAGCCCTGTTAGCGAGCACCTCTTAAGGGCGGCTCAGCGAAATTGGAGGGCGGCTGTGGCGCAGGGGGCCTACCGCACTGGGGCGAAGTGGCGAGTGGTATCTGACCTAGTCACGACCAGCCCCACGCCTCCTTCCCCCTAGGTCGGCTCAGCCTCTAATGAACACATGTCACGGTGTGGTAAAACGTCAGCAGCGCTGGGGAGACAAAAGCGGCCCGGTGGTGCTGGCCAGTCCTCTACTGCCCCCCTCTCCGCCCACCCCCCAAAAACGAACTGCTTCCTTACGTAAATTCACCCCAACAATCTGCGAACTGTCATCTTTAGCGTCGCCCCACCCGGCACGCCCCATCCGGCACGCTTCACCCGGCACGCCCCACCCGGCACGCTTCACCGTCTGGCTCTGCGAGAGCGGCGGGGCCCTGGCCACGGCTTACACGCGCGTCTCAAGGAAGGTGCACCCAGCCTGGCACCGAGCGCCTTGGCCACGTCGCGGCCACCGAGCCCGCCCTCACCTTGACGGTCTCCATGGGGCACACGACCACCACGGCCTCGGCCACGCCGGCCCCGAGTCCACACAGGAGGCTCCGCGTGCTGTTCAGGGTCCCGTTCTCATCCCGCATGTGGTTGCTCAGGAACTCGAACATCCCGAACCTGGGGGCCGGTGGTGGAGCGGGAGGGGGGGGGGGGGGTGGCGGAGAGGGGGGGGGGGATGCAGGGAGAGGGTTCGTGGCAGTCATGGAGGTCATCATCGTGAACCTCCCCTATCGATGATCGATTATCACAAACTTTTAATCATCGTCGTCATCATAATCGTCGGCCGTGATCTAAATATGGATTCATCGTTATCAAGTGATGATTCATCATGCATATCGACTCATCGTTACCATCACCATCTTCTGATATTGATTCATCATCTCATCATAAAACATATTGATTCATTATCATTACCATCATCATCAATTAGCCGTGGTCTGTCCACTGCTGGACGAAGGCCTCCCTCGCAGGGCTTCTTGCGGAGACCGCAGGTGTGCGTCAATGTGCGGATCGGCCCTCAGGGAAATGTTTCACAGCGCCTGATCTCAGGGGGTCTCGGGGTCGCGGGGGTGTGCGGGAAGGGGTCCCCCGTGGACACTCACCTGACCGCCGCCTTGGGGATGGAGCCGTAGAGGAGGGAGCTGAGCCCCCGGTAGAGACCTTTGACCCCATGACCCCGAACCGTCTGACCCACGCAGTCGCCTGCGGCATAGCATGTATGACGGAGGGGGGGGGGGATGGAGGGGAGGGGAGGGGTTGGGGGTCAGGGTAGGGGGAGTATGTTCATGCACTTGTAAAAGTGAGTTCACCTGTAGCCGCACCTGTGTGCGACACGTGCACGTGTGTGTTCAGCGTAAGGGCACACACGTGCACTCAACGGCGCACACTCCTCGTGTTGAGGGCAGCGCACGTGTGCGTCACGGTGTTGCTTGTGAAGTGTGCGTGCGCGTTTTTGTTGTTTTTAAAGCACGCGCGCGTTAAGTGCCAAGGCGCAACGCTCGCGGTGAGTGCTCGCGCACGCGCGCGCGCGTCAAATGCACGCGCGCGCCAAGCGCAAATGGACCGCGTGCAAAACGCGTGCTCGGTGCTTAATCGCACGTGTTAGTGCGTTCAGCGTCAAGCGTCAGCGCATCACACTCGCCGAGTGCGATTCCGTCCAGGGTTCTCGGTGCACGTTCAGCGTGATGTTGAGTGCAAGGTGTGCACAATCGGTGCTAATAGTGTGCGCGCTAAGCGAAGGCGTGTGGGGCCCCACCGATGCCCCGGTACCGCGGGGGGTTCGCCTTCTCGTCCAGCTGGAGCTGCGTCTTCACGTACTCCGTGGGGAACGTGATGCAGATCTCGATGCCCCCCGCGAGGCCACCTGCGATGCCAGCGGAGTGGCGGGGCAGGGGAGGAGGGGGGACAACGTGACCTCGATTAACCCACATCACCCTTGTCAGCCACGTGACTTCAATCATTCAATTATGAAAAATAAGAAGAGGTTTTATCCTTTCTGGCAATACAACAGGAGGCGTTAGAAGATGTTCAGACACCAAATAGGAAGCTTTTTCAAGGAATCAAGTCAGCAAACAAACATGCTCTGATTACAATAATGTATATCCATTGTCTTTGAAACTGATTGGCATACACCAGAGACAGCCTTCTTCTTGGCCTTGTCTCGCCGGTGTGGGACCAGATACTTTGATACCAGCAAAAAGGTCCCGTAGACCTCGAGTGTGGCAATGCAGCAAGGCAGAGTGAACACGCCACCAAATGAATTGCCTGTAAAGGGGGAGTGACGGTGACCCTCTGATACGAACGAAATTATGGATTTTTTTATTTTTTCTCTCTCTACTTTCCCACGTGCGAATTCCAAGTTTCCTGTTCGGCGTCGAGTTGCTCGCGAGACGGAGAGATTCTCCACGTGGGGCCCTCGCGCCCGGCGAGCGAGCAGCGCCCAGCGTCGTGTCAGGCAGCCTCCCCGGAAGATGACACCGTAGAACTACAACTGAAGTCAGCGAAGAAGACATTCTCATCTGCACTTTGAGCGCACCTCAAATATTCCTCGCACAGCCTCGAACTGTTGGGGGGGGGGGGTACGAAGTGGGAGGGGCGGGGGGGGCAAGTGCCAGAACGACGCCCGGCCGCCTTTGTCTCCCCAGTGGCTATGCATTACACCATGTACTCATTTTAGGCTGATCCAGGGCCCACTCGCCACTGAACCTAGCCGTGACTGGGAATCCAACTCAGGTAGCAGGTTTGGTAACGCAGAGCATTAACCACTGCGCCACCGCTCCCGATATATGTTAAAGACAAATATCATACGTATAACCTGAACAGACTGATGAGGCAAGTGCTGTTAGTGCGCGCCTATGAAGGCCGGCACAGTACACGAGTGTGTGGGCGGCAAGCACCACGCCCGGCCGCCTTTGTCTCCCGAGGGACGATGTTTACACACCGCTGCAGGTACTCATTTGAGGCTGAGTCGATCTAGGGGGCGCCCAGGATCGGCGTTGGCCGTGGAAGTTCACACACGCGCGCACAACGTAAAACTGTAGGCTTACACGCGTGTGCATTTAATGTTTACTAATGCGATTAATAAACCAATTTCTGGCCCGTCAATCATCCACCGTTGCGTGGGTCGGCCCGGGCACACAACTCGTTCACTCGGCGTGGCGCAGCTCAGGGCTGCTAGCAGGGAGTTCAGCTTCGGTTGGGCCCCGGAGTGAGGAAGAGACCGGAGCCGGGGTCCCGGTTCGCGCCCGTGGCCGCCGGCTCCGGAGACCGGGAGGCTCCGGCTACGTGTGGCAGCTGCCCTGGGATGACCCCTCCCCTCCCTCGGCCCTCTCTCTCTCTCTTTTTTTTACGGTCAGAGGAAACAAGAAGATGCTCGGTGTAGTCGGCACTTTGCTTCGTTCATCATTTCGTTTTTTTAATGCTTTGCTTTATGTAACCCCCCCCCCCCCCCACTTTTAAATGAAAGATTTAACAAAAGATTTCTCGCTATGCTCTCCTTACCCATTCCCACTCGCTCTACCCCCTCTCTCTACCCCCTCCCCCTCTCTACCCCCTCTCTTCCTACTCCATGTCGCTCTCTCTCTCGCTCTCTCTCTCTCACTCCCTCCCTTGCCTCCCATCTATCCCTATCACCTTCCCGTCTTCCCTATCTCTCCCTCCATCTCTCCATCTTCCCTCGCCCACTTTCTCCCCAACCTCCCTTCACATGTCCCCATCTTCTACTCCCCTCCTTCACCACCCCCCCTCTTCCTGTCCTCCCTCCCTCCCCGCGGCCTCCACATCTCCCTAACTCACTCGTTCCCTCCCCCTCCTTCCCCCCCCCCTCCCTCCCCTGCCTCCCTCGCCTCCGCGTGTCGCCAGCTCAGCTCGTTGAGCCCCGGGCGAGTTCCCCCGAAACGCGGCAGGACAGGGAGCGGTGGGGAAAGGGTTGCGGATTTGGGGGTTAAATTCGCTGCGTCAGACTCGGTGCCTAGCCCCTGCCGTCGGGACAAGTTCTGCGGGTCACATTCCGTGCTTCGGGGGATTGTGGCCGTGGTTTCGCGGCTGCCATCAGGGGGGTGCAGACGGTTCTGCGTCGTCGAATCAGCAGCGGCTGCGTGATTCGGTATGCTGTGGCGAGGTGGGTCTGATTCTGCAGGGGGTGTGCGTTGTGGGGTGTGTGGGTTCTGTGTGTGTGGAGGGACGCGGGTGCTGCCCACCAACCCCCCCCCCCACCCCGTGTGTCGTGCCGGTGCTCGCGAACAGCACTTGCCCCAGCAGTCTCTTAAGGCTATACGGGGGAGGGGTCTTTGTCTATGTTTTGTTGTGTGTTTGTGTGTGTAGCGGTGTGTTTGTACATGAGTGTGTCTATGTCTGTCCCCGTCACCTTCGACACTTGGCACTCAAAAGCGCACACCTAGCCTGGCACAAGCGCTGTGGTGACGTCACCGCCCCTGCGTGTTGTCGTGTTGGGGTGTCGCGAGTGCGTGGCGGTCTGGTGGTTGTCGCGTCTCGCGCGCACACCCCATGTGGTCCGCGGTTTTTGTTCTCGCTGATGACCTTTGACCGCGATCGGGCGACGCTCACGCGACCCCGACTGAGATTTCACCCCGCCCCTCCAACCCTCGCCCCTCCACCCCCATCAATGCAAATACCGGCACAGGTTAGCGCCCCACGTGACGTGGCCCTGTGCGTCACGTCACCTGTTCTGACACTTTCACTATGAACGCGAGCAGTTTACCTGCTGTGCCGACGACAAAGACCCCCGTCTAGACTTAACAGGCAAGTGCTGTGAACGAGCAGCACCTATGAAGTCCGGAAAAGCACACGATGGGGGGTACCCAACACCACGCACGGCCGTCTTTGTCTCCCTTGTGGCGATGCTTACACATCGCAACAGGTACTCGCGTCGCCGGGTTTGTAGCGCAGTGCGCTAACCGTTGCGCCACCGCTCCTCACAAACAGCACAACAGTAACCACTAAATTTCGATTTAAAGCTTTCGTGACTGCAGGGATTCATCTTCTTGGTTCTTTCGGTAAAGTCACGTAGAAGGGAAGTAATAAAATAATAAAAATAAAACAATAATTATGTTTTATTTTTATTATTTTATTACTTCCCTTCTACGTGACTTTACCGAAAGAACCAAGAAGAAGTAACCACTAAGTGTGGCAGTCCCGTCACCGCGGCGCTAGTGCCAGGCTAGGTGCACGCTGAGGCCGTCACGGGGCAGGCCCAGGTGGTATGGGTTAAATGCTGGAGATGGCTGGCACATGCACTCGACTTATAGACACGCACACATATACAAAGACACATTCAGACTGATCGTACACAAGCACGAACATACATTGGACAGATACTTGGACACACACAAAGATAGACACAGACACGTGGGCGCAGAGACACACATGGAGACAGAGATAGGTACACACAGAGACATGCACAGACAAGTACGTATAGACCTTCAGATACACACACACCTGCAAGACACTCACACACGCACCTGTAGAGACACACATACAAAAAAAAGATCCCCCGTATAGCCTTAACAGACTGTAGGGGCAAGTGCTGTGGCCAGCACCACGCCCGACCGCCTTTGTCTCCCCAGTGGCGATGTTTACACACCGCACCAGATACTCATTTGAGGCTGAGTCGACCTAGGGGAGCCCCAGGACCGGTTCAGATAATCGTCACCGGCGTTGGCCGTGAGCAGGAATCGAACCCGGGTCGCCAGGTTCATAGCGCAGCGCGCTAACAACTACACTACCGCTCCCCTACATACGCGCCTGTAGAGACACACACACACACCTGCAAAGACACGCGCACCTGCAGTGACACCCACACTCACCTTCATATACACGAACACCTGCACACACCTTCAGATACACACACATCTGCAGAAACTCATACACTTGTAGACACTCACGCACCTGCACACACACACACCTGCAGATACACACACACCTGCAGACACACACACACACGCCCCTGCAGATACACACACCTGCAGACACACACACACACCTGCAGACACACACACACACCTGCAAGAATCGCTTTCCCCGGGTGCGTGAGCTTCGCTTTCCCAGCGGGAGCCGCCGCCGCCAGACACCGCGGCCTCGCGAAGGGGTCCCGGTGCCGGGCACCCTCCTCCCCCATGACCGCGACAGCCCTCGCTCCCTGCCGGGGCCCCGTCGCCTCCAAACTCCTTCCAACAGCGCCGCTCGCCTCCCGAGACATGCGGCGCGCTCCTCCGGTCTCGCGCGCTTCCCTCTCTGGCCCGGTGCCGCCGATGAAGCCGTCGAGACTTTGCGTGCGTGGCCGGATCAGCCTCCCCCCACCACCCACACCACCATCCCTGGACCCCGCCTCCATTCCAGCAGCAGTATGGGGGCCGGGTTGTAGTGAAGGGGGTGGTTGGTAGTGGTTGTTGGAAGTTGAGGGGGGGGGGGTGGCGGTAGTGCAGCGTTTAGCGCGCCGCGCTACGAACCCGGCGACCCCGAGTTTGATTCGCGCTCACGTCAAACCAACGCGGGTGGTGACGATGACCCTGAAACCGGGACGCGAACCTCCTTGGAGTCTAAAACGTGAGCAATGGGGGGACAAAGGCGGCCGTGAGTGGTGCTGGCCATTCACCCCTTCGTACGCCATATCGGCTTTAATAGGTGCTCACTTACAATACTTGCCCCAACAGTCGGAAAGGGATATAAGGGGTGGGGGCGAGGGTGGCAGTGGTTCGACCAGCAGTAGCCCGTCATGCGAGCCCAGCACACACATGTGCTTTGGGTTAACCGTCCCGTGACCTCCGTGACCGAGAGCCGTCCACGCTCCACGTGACGTCAATGTGCATCGAGACCGGCACAAGCGCCGCGGTGACGTCACCGCCAATTGGTGGCGAATTAAGTCGTATTGTTGTTGGTGGCGGTGGTGGTTTTTGTGGTGGTGGTAGTGGTTGAGGTGGAATCCACACACGCGGGCGTCATGACCGCGTCACGCGTTCAGTGGCTCGCGGGTCATTCGCTGTACTGTGGACTAATTTCCTCCTGCCATAAGAATGTGGAGTTGACGCCGTTGAGTCGGGGATGTGAACCGTAAGTGAGAGCCACCCTACGCTCGTTAGTGCAGAGGACATAAGCTGGACGGGGACTTCAGAGTTATTTTTTCTCAGCAAAAAATGTTGACTTTATATTTGCGTGGGCCGACCCCACATGGCCCTTACGAAAACTTTGTCTCGGGCCGTTGCAAAAGCTGCAACCGGCATTAATGCCACAAATTCAAGTGTTGCTGTCAGCTGCGACCGGCAAAAACACACACACTTTTACCGAGATCAATTACGGCCAGTGTCCCCGGCTAAACTTTCTGACCGAAAAAGCTGCGACCCCAAATATTAACACACTCGCCTTTTGCCCGTCCAAGGACGGGTGTATTGCAGTAAATCTGAAACTTGCAAGCGAAAAGCAGAGCGTGACGTAATATTCATCGCATCCATTCGTGTGCAATTTGTAAAGGCTGCGGTGACACAGACCTATTTCATTTCAAGGTTATAATCCCTTGTTCATCATGACGTCCTTTTTACTTTGATGTCTCAACAGCGTTAGAGAGATCGCGTGACGTGAGGGTTCTGCCTTTGTCGTGAGGGTTGTGAGTTGACGCTGAGGAGGGGGCGCCTCGCCCCCCATGTGGAGTGACGTCACCTCATGATTATTAATGAGGGGGGAGGGTGCTCCATGTGGAGTGACGTCACATGTTAATGATTATTAATGAGGGGAGGATGGTCGACGAGGAGTGACGTCACGAGCGTTGCACACAGACATCCTTAGCTCATTATAGTAGCTAATAATGGGGGGAGGACGTCACCTGCTCATGGTTATCAATGAGGGGGGCTGTTCGATGTGGAGTGACACTTGCGCATGATTATTAGTGAGGGGGGGGGGGGGAGTACTCCATATTGAGCGACGTCACCCGCTCATGATTATTGAGGGATCGGGGGGGGGGGGTGTCCATTTGGAGGACGTCACCAGCTAATGAATATTAATGAGGGGGGGCTGTCAATGTGGAGTGACGTCACGCGCGTTAAGCACAGACATTCCTGGGTGATTATATTCGGTAGGGCAGAGTCGGTCGCACGGGCTTCAGCCGGGTCACTTGGGGCGGTCACGCGGCCGCCGGTTCGCTGTGGAGTTTTCCATTTAGAAATCTGCAGAAGCACGAAGGGGGCCGTACTCGTGTCTGGCTCTGCTGCCGGGGGGGGGGGGGGCAAGGGCCGCTCCTGCTTCCGCGCAAGTTTATTTATTTATTTCCGTGCCAATTTGAATTCCACTTAAAAGTAAAACATTAGCGGTGTCCGTCTCTACGGACCCGTGCTGGGAACGCCCCGGGAGAGAAAGGGGTTTGGCACACGCTGGGCATCGTGACCCAGAGGTCTGTCCAGCCGCTCAAAGCACAGCACAATCTCGATTTTGCATGCGTGCGAGCGACCTTTGCCTGCGAGGATTGTAAAGTTGCAATTGCACATTCATGGGGTAGGGGGGTGCAGAGATCACATTTGTCCAAAATGCCGGTGTTTTTGGGATTAGATCGCATAAATAAACGTCGCTAAACCCGCCACAGCCAATTAGTAAGGCTTGTCACGTAAACAGAACATGCCAATTCGTTATTAGGATAGCACACCAGTGTGAAGAGCAAAGCCACAACATTTACAATCCTAGTACTTGTAAATGTTGTGGCTTTGCTCTCCAACACACCGGTGTGCTGTACTCGTGTCTCGACATCGCTGGATGGCACCAGGCTGTAAGTGCCGTGCCGGCCCTACAGGTCGCGTTGTGTGGGTGCCGACCAAAGGGGAAGGTCGTGAGCCATGTCACTCTGGTTGACCCGGGAGGACACGTGACCGGTTAAGATGACAGAGGGGCCCCCGAGAGGGGGCTGGGGTCACGTGATTGGGACCCAGGTCCTTCCCGATGGTTCTGGAAGGTGGAGTCCCGAGAGGGACCGGGGTTGTTTATCCTGGGAACAGAACCCTTCTCTCCGATCTATGAGTCTTACAGCACGTGGACCCGGGCAGATGCTGTTGGTCCCAGGTCCGCCGTAACAGTCACGCGGTAACTCGTGTAGCTAGCCGGGTGGAAACCACCCGAGGTTGTTTTTTCTGTTAAGGGAACGTTACCCCGTGTGTTGGAACTAAATAAATGCGCTGCCTCCAAAGTCTACATCTGCGACTCAGTTGAACACACTACACTCGTCACAGATTGGCACGTTATGTTCACGCGACAAACCTTACTAATTGGCGGTCAGGTGGTGTGGCGGGTTTAACGACACATTTACGCGACCCAACCCAAATCAACCTGTATTATTGATATTGGGTCGCGAAAGCCTAGTACGTGTTAAACTGACATTGGTCCAAACTGACACTCCCCCCCCCGCCTCTTTACGATCGTAAAATAGTGGGGGCCAGGACGGCCAGTGACGATCGCCGATGTTTATGGACTTTTGTGGAGTCATCTCGGGTGGACGCCACAAAAAGGACTCGGGCCTGGACACGTGGAATGGCGACCGGTCCCGACTAAGCGTTCTCAGGTGCGGTGAGCACACGCCTCGTGACCCGGCAATTCAGAGGTACAAGGGCCGAGAGGAATTACCCAGATATGAAACTGGTGGCTGCGGGCCAACCAGCAGATTGCAGCAAGTGGTTTAATGAACCCACGTGTGTGTGGACCTGTAAATGTTATCCGCTCCTGAGGGCAAGTTTTTCCTCCAGATCCATTCAGTTTCCTCCCACTTGCCGTTTAAACCGGAAATGGCCAAACGTCTAAAATGTGCAGCCTTTCCGTGCCCTGGCAATGGCGAGGCCGAGGACTGCACGTGCAGTTCATACGCGGGGCTTAAGTTTGTCGCCGAATATGTTCTGCGTCGACTGCAATCGACCTGGACAGAGGAGCGTAAAGTAGCCAGAGCGGACAGCAAGGGGCCGAACTAGATTTTGGGGTTTGTCGAGCGTGGAAGCGCGTGGGCCGCGCTTCCAAAGTGTTGCAAAAATGTCGGCGGTGTTTAGGATGAGAGGGGAGGGAATTTAGATCCCTTTTACTGCCGTGGCCAAACTGAGACCAAAGCGTCACAGATACGCGGGGGCAAGCGACAAGGGGTGGGGGGGGGGGGGCCGGCGCCGTTTTGGGGGTTTTTTTGTCCTTTATAATTTTTTGCTTTATTTTTTTTTTACTTCCAATATGCGTTTCTTTTCACGTGAAGAAGCAAACAGCACTGGTGCCACGACTGACTCAATGTACAGCACGCGGGGAATGGAGGCGACGGCTAGAGGAAGCAGCGGGGGCAGGGGGGGGGCTCAGCAATTGTGTGTGCCGCATAGCTGAACGCTTTCTACCACAGCAACGCGTGGTGGTGAATGTACCATCGCTCGTCATCCGCCATCATGGTAAACGTCCAGTAAAACTGAAATTTCCAACTGCTCGTAGTAAAAATTTACATACATGAAATCATGTAGGGCGTTTGGGGGGCGGGACGATGAGTGATTTTAAAACTAGGATATGGTTAGGACCATTCTGGCTACAGGGCCAGAGTGGTGGTTATATGTTCTCAAGGCGAGGCATGTGGAATTGGGCTGCAACTGTGAATAGGGCTGGGGGGGGGGGGGGGGTTAAGGCTGAGACTGGGTTAGAGTTCGTGGAATAAACCACAATATGGTATTGCGGTGTTCACTACAATACGGCGTTCTTTGGCCAAACAACAATTCTAGCATTGGCTAGGTTTGTGGTTAGGTTTATGATCAAGGTGGGAATCGTAATAAGAAATGTGGCAAAAGAGGGCTGGGAGGGGGGGGGGAATGAATTAGCTTCAGTGTTTGTTATCCAAAACAAGAGGGCACCTGAAGGAACTCAAAGCCGACTCCACGTTTACCATGGCTGCCCGTCAACCACGCGGCGCTACACCGCTTTGCGCTCCGACACATGACCGGGGGGGCCCTCCCCCCCCCCACCCAACACCCACCGCACCACACACCTGGTCCCAAATCAGAGCCCAAGGGGGGGGGACGGGACATGGCAATACTGATCTATCGCCAGGCCCCACGACCACCCAAAAATTCCTCGGCAGCTACACGCAATAAAACAGGGGGGGCGGCGATTACAGCGATCGACTACACACGCAACGGAGAGGAAAAGAGAAATAAAAAAATCACCAGCGACGAGAGAGTATTATTATTAATTATCTAGTCCGCACAAATTAAACGCGCAAAGACAGTTACACTAGCTATACCGTATTTTGTGAACAATCCTCAAATCTTACACCGAGCGTACTAAGTACATATATAATTTGCTAAATTTTATTCATTTTTCTGCTGTAAATTTGTATTATTTAGATCATTTTTTTGGTAATGG